TGACTTTATGGAGCCAATGAATGCCATTGGGGGAGGGGGGCGGGAAGCAGCCTGTTACATTCCATATAGGGTTCCTGGGAGCCTTGCCAGGTAAGTAAGGAAGGTCACTTCCTGGCAGGTTCATGAGATTTTGGGGAAGAGAGGAAGTAACCCAAATTGATAAGCATCAAAGGGGAGTTAATAGCAAGTATTTGGCTTGGCTACCCATGAAAGCTCCAAATAATGGTTCCATGCAGGGCGGGGGCTCAACTTACCACCAGGGAATATCTTTAATTGGATGTAAGGCTGTTTCTTGTTCTTCAAATTCTGATCCACACCCCTTTTCAATAGGAAGAAGCCAGAGTGGTTGTCACCCCTATCTCTCTGGAATGACGAATGATGAAAAGCCAGGGGTGGCACTGGCTCATGGGGCCGAAACAGCTATTGGGTTATTGCTGGAATAAGATCTGCCATGTCTATTGCCCGGAAAGCCTTTGTCTCACGGGCTTAGCACAGCTGATGTTCCCTCCTGGTGCATCAGGAAATGTCTTCCTGTCATGGGCTACCTCTTAGGCTGAAATTCACAGTTGCTTCATCTGTTGGGTCTGAGGAAAGGACGTCTTTCCTGGGCCCAGGGGGACCTTGCGTTGCTGTTTGTATTGCTGCTGTGACCCAGGAATGCAAGTCACCTCTTGCAATCTGGCTCTGGGGTCATCATGAAGAATGCTGTGCATAGATGGTGCAGGCCATAAAGACGTCCCCGTCTCCGTTGGGGACGGAGTGTAGGAGTGCAGACAACACTGACTCCATCTAGCCCTCCATTTGTTCTCCCCTCTGACTACTTTAGATAACTAGTAGAGAGCCATTCTGGTGCACAGATAGGACCACTTTAGATAACTATCTTGTGACCTCACCAGCATGGCCCTTGCTCTATGAAAGCTGGAGATTAAGATCTGGATGGCTGTGGAAAATGGGCAGGGAAGTTTGGGGTGGAAAACAGCTGCCTAGTGCCCTCTGTTGTGTGTCTGTCCTCCTCCATGATTATCCCTGTGGATAAGTTAACTGAGTAAAACTGTCAATGGTCTAGAGTGGCTTGCAGCATTTTTGCATTTGAAAGCAGCTTCTCAGTCTGGAGAATGCATTACTGACCCTCCTCTGTCTTCTACCAGCTACATAATCATTCATCACATGAGGATACCATAACTTGTTTTAACAACTCTTGCAGCATTAATTCCTCTCCACCATTGTTTTGGGTTACTTTAGATTTTATAAATAATTCACTGCTAAAACTGAGATTCCAGTTAAGATTCTGTGCACAAGTATTTGCCTGAAATTCATTGTATTTCCTTAGAATAGCTTCCTAGGAGTAGAATTACTATATCAAGGAATATGAGTGGTTAAGGCTTTTGAAACACGGGAAAATTTTTATAATTTAGGAAGCTTTTTGCTGATTTACATTCTCACCTAAGGTGTGTTAGAATTTGTCTCTGCACCTTTGCCAGCCCTGGGTCTAACATATTTTTATTTTATGTGTAAAATGGCATCCTTTTGGTTTACTTTGCATTTCTTAAAGGACTAATGCAATTGATGTGTGGGTGGGTGGGTGGGTGGGTGTGTGTGTGTTTAAGATTTTGTTTTATTTTTTTGACAGAAACAGCGAGAAAGGGAACACAAGCAGGGGGAGTGGGAGAGGTAGAAGCAGGCTTCCCACCAAGCAGGGAGCCTGATGTAGGGCTCAATCCCAGGACTCTAGGATCATGACCTGAGCCAAAGACAGATGCTTAACGACTTAGCCACCCAGGTGCCCACAAATGATGTTTTTTAATTTGTTGAGCATATTTGTGAATTGTCTGTTCACACCACTTGCTCATTTTTTAAAATGGGCATGTTACTGTATTTAACTTTTTTCCAAATATACTTTTTTGATTTAAATTCAATTAACATATAATGTATTATTGGTTTCAGAGGTAGAGGTCAGTGATTCATCAGTTTTATATAACACCCAGTGCTCATTATGTCACTTGCCCTCCTTAATGTCTATCACCCAATTACCCCATCCCTCCACCTACCTCTCCTCCAGCAAGCCCGAGTTTGTTTCCTGTGATGAAGAGTCTCTTATGCTTCGTCTCCCTCTCTGGTTTTGTCTTGTTTTATTTTTTCCTCTCTTCCCCTATGATCCTCTGTTGTTGTTGTTGTTGTTTTTCTTAAATTCCACATATGAGTGAGATCATATAATTGCCTTAACCTGACTTATTTCACTTAACATAATATCCTTTAGTTTAATCTACATCATTGCAAATGGCAAGATTTCATTTTTTGATGGCTGAGTAGTATTCCACTGTATTTAACATTAATCTTTTGAGTAAATCAGGATTACAACTCAAAATTTACAAAAGGTACATGGTATTCTAGTCACTCATTCTTGTCTGAATTAGCAACCACTGACCCTAGTTCCTTGGATATCCTTTCAGAGATAAGCCATGCTTATAAAAATGCCTACTTTTCTTTATATTAGTGTCTTGTGTTAATCTCCATGTCTTGATCCCTCCATTTTAGCACATAAAAATCTGCTCTCTAATGTCCACTCATAGTGCTGTTATTTGGATGTATCCTAACTTATGTGCCTTATGTGACAGAAATTTAGGTGGTTTTTAACCTTCTGCCATCATAGGCAATGCTGCAAAAACAAAACAAAACAAAACCCAAAACAACAAAAAAAACTTTGTTCCCCTGTGTGTCTGTAGCATAAATTCCTAGAAATGAAGTTACTGGGTGAAGAGTATATTGACTCAAAATTTTTGAAATAGTTGGGGGCACCTGGGTGGCTCAGTGGGTTAAGCCGCTGCCTTCGGCTCAGGTCATGATCTCGGGGTCCCGGGATCGAGCCCCGCATCGGGCTCTCTGCTCAGCAGGGAGCCTGCTTCCCACCCAACCCCCCCCCGCCTCTCTGCGTACTTGTGATCTCTCTCTCTCTCTGTCAAATAAATAAATAAAATCTTTAAAAAAAATTTTTTTTGAAATAGTGAAAATTATCCTCCATAGAGGTTTTTCCTCAGTCTCACCAACTTTTTATCAAACTTTCTGATATTTGCTAAGCAGTTAAGTAAGAAGTGGTATATCCTTATAATTTGAAATTGCACTAATTTTCACATTAAGTTCCTGTCTTTAAAAGCCACATTTTTTCTTTAAACTTTCCATCTTACGCCTTTTACACTGGATTGTTGGTTCTTATCTTGAAATGTTTTCTAGGACTGCTTTATAATGTAAGTTGTTCTTTTTGATATGGGTTGCTCAGTATATCTCTAATCAATGTGTAAGAATTTAAGTGGAAGCCTGTGGCAAGGCCTGCCCTTTTTCCTTGGCCTGGGTAGCTGGTTAGTATTCTCTTCACCTATTCTCCTCAAATCCTCCTTGACTGGGTTCTCTAGCTCCACCTTGCTCATTTTTTTAAAAGATTTTTTACTTATTTATTTGACAGAGAGTGATCACAAGTAGGCAAGAGGCAGGCAGAGAGAGAGAGAGGGGAAGCAGGCTCCCTGCTGAGCAGAGAGCCCCATGCGGGGCTCGATTCCAGGACCCTGAGATCATGACCTGAGCCGAAGGCAGAGGCTTAACCCGCTGAACCACCCAGGCGCCCCTCCACCTTGCTCATTTTTATACCCAATTTACCTAAAGGCAAACCTAAAGGCAAACCTATCTTACCACGTCAAAAGCTGTTATATTTTTTCCAGAAAAAAGCCTGTCTCATGTGAGAAAGCACAATATAGTATATTATGTACTTGAGAAATGCATTCCCTTCATTAATGTGTCTTTGACTTTATGCCTTGCTAAATAACCACACAGGTCCTACTATCCTACTATAGATGCATTCATGTCCCTCGTTGGTTGGTTTTCATTTTAAGCAGCTCAATACTTCTGCCTGAACCATTTGGGATGAATGATACATGGGAATGAATAGGGACAGATGTATGGGAGTTGAAGGGATGGGGGTAGGGGAGATGGTCCTAAAGACCCTCATTTTGAGGGCTAAGATTCTGGTAGACCTCCTCTGCAGAAGTAGTAGTTTTTCGTCCTGATGGGTGAGGGTGATTCTTTAGAATAATATGATGTATAGCATGTCTTATGAACTCATAAGACAAATATTGATTGGCTTGGATTCCTCCTAGGGTGACATAGTCACAACTGTTTGCAACATTAACTTCAAATCTTGTCTGGGGAAGAGGCTGGGAATAATAACCAAGGAAAGGGAATAGGACCAAGGAAACTGGAAATCCCAATTAGGGTAAGGGGGCTCCCTTTTTAAATCTATTTTTTTAGTTACCTATTGTTGTATAAAAAATTATTCTAAAACTTAGCAATTTTTTAAAAAGCACATTTTTTCTCACATTTTCTATGGATCAGAAATTTGGGAGCCGCTTACCTAGGTTCTGCTCCAGGGTCTCTCACGACATTGCAGCTGATATGCTAGCAGAGACTAAGGTCATCTGAAGTCTTGACTGGAGCTAGAGCAGCTAAGTCTAAGATGACTCACTCACGTAGCTGTTGACAAGAGGCCTCCGTTATTTACCAAGTGGATCTCTCCATAAAGCTACTTGAGTGTCCTCCTGATGGCACTAGGAGCTTTCGCTGAAGTGAAGTGGGTGATCTGAGAAAGAGAAGGAGGAAGCCATATTGTTTTTTATGAGCTTCTACCATATTCTGTTCTTTAGAATTGAGTCACGAAGTTAAGTTCACATTCAAGGGAACAGGTACCAAGATCTCCTTTTTGAAGGGAAGAATATCAAAGAACTTGTGAACATAGTTTAAAACCATCACACTCAGCATTCCTCAAAAACCTATCCTGGCCTACATTGAACTTCATTCCATTGCTTGAACTACAGTCCATTGCTTGGTATTCATTGATGCCAGAAGTATTTCTTGTGTTCTCTGAATCTGTGCATACCATCTTTATTATCTGTTATCAGGAACCATTCTATTCTAAAGCATGATATCCTCTTAACAGTGGTCTTTTTACTTCTCAGGTGCTTGTTGGCTTTCTTCTTATTCTAGCAGCCATAGAGCTGGCCCTGGTACTCACAGAAGACTCTGGACAAGCCACAGTCCCTGCCATTAGATACACCAATCCTAGCCTTTACCTGGGCACATGGGTAAGTCCTACCTCCACTCCTGCCCTGTTTATCTTCTTATCCATAGCTATCTAGTTGAAATGTACTCTTTTGGAATAAAATTAAGGCCTGTGACTGAGGATTTCTGTCCCTGGTGCATGGCCCCATTTGGAGTTGCCAAACCTGCTGACTCCTGCAGTGTACTCCTGGCTGCTTCTCTCAGAGAGGAAGGAGGGGATCTCTGTGGATCTGCCACTTGTGGGGTCCCTGCTCAAAGAGCAGTGGCCCAACTGTGCCAGGTAACCATGAGCTGAGAGCTCACTCCTTGGCTCCGTCTCTGTAGCTGGCTTCCCTGCTCTGATACCTGTGAGCTCTGCCACACTCAGATACCCCCAGTCTTTCTGTGACCCCTCAGGACCTGAGACCACACTGTCCCTGTGAGGACTCCACCCCTGCTTAGCCTCTGGAGTGATGTCCCTCAGTGGGAACAGTCTTCTGAAAGTTCTGATTTTGTGCTCCATTGCTCCACTGCTTGCTGGGAGTCAGCCCCTCCCCATCGGTCTATCTTCCCATCACTTCGGATTCACTTCTCCACACGTCCTACCTTTCAGAAAGTGGTTGATTTTCTGTTCCTAGAATTGCCTATCTCCTACTGAGTTTGTAGGTGTTTGGAATGGTTTGGTAACTATCTAGCTGAACTCCTGTGACCTGATGTCATTTCAGTCTGCTATACCTCCACCATCTTGCTACTAAGTTGCTATGCTTTTCAACAGAAAAGATGCCACACAACTATTTGGGTTTCTAAACCTCCTTGAAAAATCAGAATGCCTGGTATCTATGGGCCTGTATCTCCATAGGACAATGGTCAGCCTTTGTGTGTGCATCTCTTCCCAACACTGTGCTTAGTGACAGCTTGTTGGGGCCTGAAATCCACCACAGTGATATTATCTATACCACAGAAATTAACAGATGATACTAATTATGGCTTTGTTTTCGGAACGCTAGTTTACAAGCTCCGCACTGAGTCTAGGAAACCATTTAATTATATTTAAGTGAGATGTTACAAGGCAAGGTTTTTTTTTTTTATTGCCTAGTTTGATATTATTAGAAAATCCCATAGACAGTTTACACCTGTTCTGCAGAAACTCCCTCCCAGGTGGACTACTGCAGCACCTGAAATTCACTTCCTTGGGTCTTGGAAAGACTTTTGGCTCCCAAACCAACTCCATTATATGCAGAAGGTGACCCTCTGTGTTCGTGGCTAACTCCCCACCCAAGTGCAGTGGGGATATGGGGTGAGGAAGGGGGTCCCAGGGAGAGGATGGACACCCAAAAAAGGAGGTTGGATTATATCAGGGAGGAAGTCTATCACTTGACATTTGTGTGTTTTCTGCTTGGCCTGATTAGTTCTAACCGTCTCCTCCTTTAACCCACCATTCCTTCCCTGTCTCTGGCATCTTTCTTTCCTTTCATCCTTGGTGACCATATTTTTCAGAACGTGATATGAATTTCTCTTTAGCTCCTGGTTTTGCTGATCCAACACAGCAGGCGATGGTGCATACAGAAGGATTCTTGGTTCCTCTCCCTATTCTGGATTCTCTCAGTACTCTGTGGCGTTTTCCAATTTCAGACTCTGATCCGGACACTCTTAAAGGTAAGGAGGAAAGAGAGGGTTACTTGAGGAGATAGTGTGGTGAGCAACTTCTAAGTCAGAGTGAATAGCATACAGTCAGTTGGACTCTGGGATAGAAGTATGTTTAGGAGATTTGATGATAGGCTTTAAGCACAAGCATTGACCTATGTGGGCCATTGAGACTTAATTTGGGAAAAGGCTCATTTTCTCTGGGTTTTTTTTTTTTTTTTTTTTTTTTTTTGTTCCCCCATAGGACAGCAATTCTAATCTGGCCTATTCCTGCCTGTTCTTCATCTGCTATGCACTACAGATCCTGATCCTGATCCTTTCAGCATTTTCAGAAAAAGATGCCTCCTTAAATGTGAGACTCTAAATATGCCGATCTCATGTATTATTTCATTAGATGGTATTTTGACACGTGTAACTTCAAGATGCCCTAGGCCTTGTGCGGGGGGAGGGGGGTGTCCCTCAAGCCCAGAATATAACTGTGTGGATCATTAATGGCTCAAGGAGACCAAAAGTGGCTAGTGTATGGAAATACTCTTTTATGAGTCTGGAAATACTTTTATATTGACCCGCCAATCTTCAGCATGGATAATGCATTCATCTATCTATGCCAGAAAATCTGGTTTTTACTGGTAAGACTTTAGGGTCTCCAGATAAACCTATGTTGTCCAGTCTACTTCAGTCTTAAGTCTGCTTTTTTGCATAACATTATATCTAGAAAAATCACTTTCCGATTTTAGAGTCCCACAAAGTTCGTGTTTCAGGTTGATTTACTTTTTTATTTTTTGTGTGTGTCTTGCAGAATCCATCATTCACAGCCTCATTTCTGAGTAGCATTACGTTTAGTTGGTATGACAGGTAGGAAATGCCTGGGGTGTGGGTTGTCCATATCCCTACCCCCTCATTCTTCTGAAAGTGGTGGAAATCTTAATTTCAAAAATGCTTCCTGAGGCCTCCATTTCTCCTCTACTTGGAGTCCAAGAATGTTAATTTAACAGATGTATTTATTTCAGACTGGGATGTGGAGGAGAGGATGGCGGGGACTTTGCTCTTGGTGGCCTGGAGGTTCACAGGGAAAAGGAAGGATATTAGGAAAGGTGGAAGGAAAAGAAGGGCAGGCAGTGTGACACCATTTAAAGGGTAAGGGATGAACTAGCTGGCCTGGGCTACCAAAGGATCTGCAGCCAACACTCTTGGCCTTTGTGGTTCCATGGACCACTTGGCAACTGGTACTGCCTAGGAATCCCTCCTCAGATCATGTTTTCTGTACATAAAGAAAAAGACAGGATTACAAAGGAAACCAAATACATTGAAATATATTCACTTAAATATTTTTTAAAAATTTGTGATGTAACACAAGTGCTCCTTTACAAATGTGTTAAATAACAAGATCTAGTGATCTAGCAATAGGGCTAACAATGACCACAACCTCAAAGGAGCAATGAGTGTACCTGTGCCACGAAAACACTGCAATGTCTCTTGGTGTCCAAGGAACGGGTACTCCTGTTTACAACTGCTTGTTTGCTTCCGTTCATGTTATAAGGAAAGGCAAGGTTTCAGTTAGAGGCTAGTGAAAATAAAGATGTAATTTATTTTGTATCCGTGTTCTCAAACACCAGGTTGGTGGGCCTGATCAAGAGAGAGAGCAGAGAGGAGGCCTCCAGGGCTGCTCAGTTCCTTAAGGGCATTGAAGGCCCCTCAGGGAGATGCCCCAGGGGCAGAGTGGGAGCCAGTGTTCAAGGAGGAAGGAGCAGGTGGACATGATGCTCTTTTGGTTTTTCATTCAGTCGCATTGCTCCTTGTGGCCTCCTCCTCGTCTTAGTCTACATTCCATCACCTCTCCCATCCATTTTCTGCCCTCCCCATGCCTCTGTCAGGTTTAAAGGGCTGGGAGATGGAGCAGTGGCCCCCCCTCCCTTCCTCTATCCCTCCACCTCTGAACTGGGGGTTGGGGGGCAGCTTTTGTCAGAAGCAGCAGGGGAATTGCCACTGACCCAGCATGTAGGGTCTCAGCCTGTGGATTGCTCTGGTTCCAGCATAATTTTGAAAGGCTACAAGCAACCTCTGACACTTGAAGTTATCTGGGATGTCAATGAAGAGATGAAAACCAAGACACTGGTCAGCGCGTTTGAAAAACATATGGTAGGAGAGCTGCAGAAGGCCAGGAAGGAACTCCAGAGACGGCAGCGGAGGAAGTCCCAGGGGAACACTGGAGATGGGCTGCATGGATTGAACAAGAATCAGAGTCAAAGCCAAGATATCCTTGTCCTGGTAACTTTCTCATGAGTGTCTGTGTGAATATGCTCTAGGTTTCAGGCAGGAAGATATCAGTATCCTAGTGATTCTGTCCTATTATGATAGCGCTGTATATACTGCAGTGCATTTATGGTATTTGTAGTGTTTATAATACTAATAATACCTTAGTGATGGATACATTTGGGTAGGATGTGCTGTCCTCTCTCCTTTAGGGTATATTTGAAATTTTCTAGAATATGTCTTTAATAATAGAAAAATAGGGGGTGCCTAAATGGCTCAGTCCATTAAGTGTCTGCCTTTGGCTCGGGTCATGATCCCAGGGTCCTGAGATCGAGGCCTGCATTGGGCTCTTTGCTCAGCGGGGAGCCTGCTTCTCCCTCTGCCTCTGCCTGCCTGTCTGCCACCCCACTTTCTTTGTCAAATGCACAAATAATCTTTTAAAAATAGAAAAATAGTACCTTGGCATTACCAGAATTCGTACTTTGGTGAGCTTTAGCATAGCAGCTACTCCTTGTATTTATTCACTCAGAAGTATTAAGTACTGAGTGTCTGACTATTCTGGGCACTCGTACAAGGAATAGCCTGAAAGTGTCCTCTTCAGAGAGCCAGAAAATAAATAATAAAAGAACACATGTTATTCTTTGAGAGTGATACATGCTATTAAGAATGTATAAATCCTGTTAAAGTCTTTGAAATGGAATGCCTTTAGGGTCATAGGAGAGACCTCTCAGAGGAGGTGTCCCTTGAGTGGAGACCCAAAGTCTTAGAAGTGGATTTCCACCTGAGGAACCGTCACAAGGAAGGGTAATCCCGTCCAAGGGAGCAGAAGTGTGAGGCCAAGGGGAACACATTTAGTTTGTCTGGAGAACTGCAAGAAGGTTCTGAGGCAGGGAGAGAGGGGCTGAGTAAGAGGTGAGAGGAGCTCAGAGCAGTGGACAGGGACTGTGCTGTGTAGACCCTTGTGGGCCATGGTAAGGAGTGTAGGTTTTATTTTACAAAGGGTGGAGAGCCAGTGGAAGGTTTTGAACAGAAGAGTAATGGGATCAGATTTGTACGTTAAAAAGTGCATTTGGCTGCCGCTGGGAAGATGGATGGTTGGGGGCGAGAGTAGAAGCTGGGAGGCAGGCTGGGGCCGTTGCCCAGGCAAGAGAGACTGATCAGATGGGATCTCAGTGACCCAATTACAAGAGGACGTCACTGGTAGGAAAAACCTGGAAACTCAGGCTGCGAGGCTGTATTTGGGGCCTCACGGGACCCTGGAGAATATAACAAAGAGGTCAGATCACAGGAAGAGAAAGAGGCTGGCAAGTGAGCAGCAGTGCCCCGTGGATTCGATTCCTGGATGGAACAGTGAAGTTGTGCCCTTACAAAGCACTGCTAACTGCCTGGCTTCAAACCAATGTATGGGTCACCGGCAGGAATCCAGAAGCCCAGTTGGAGGCAAAGTATCAGCAGGGCCATGCGCCTTCCAAAACCCGGAGGGGAGAAACTTTCCTTGCTTCTTTTACCTTCTAGTCTGGCTGTTCTTTGGTCTGTGGAGGTGTCGCTCCGATCTCTGCCTCTGTTATCACCTGGCCATCTTCTCTCCAGCTTGGAGTCTCTTCTCTTCTGAAGACACCAGTCCTACTGGACTAGGGCCCCGCTAAGGACCTCCTCTTGATTGCATCGGCAAAGGTCCTATTTCCAAATAAAGACCCATTCTGAGGTACTGGGGCTTAGGGTTTCCACATCTTTTGAGGGAGGACATAATTCAACCCATAACATCCCACAACAACCACAAGCAAGAACAAACAAAAAGGCTCTGAGTATCAAAACTTTGCGTCAGGTTCATGCCCTTCATTCTCCGGGATTACCCAGCATGCCCCCCTACTTAGGGTCTATTCTTTGTTTTTTATGTATTCTCCCCCGCTTTGTTGCGTGGTTTTTCTCACCCAGACTAGATTAGGTGTGTCAGGATAGGGGAGAGGGAACTGGTGATGGCAGCTGAAGGGGTGGATGACGACCAGACAGAAAACCAAAACGCGTACAAAGACAGCGACAGGACTCGGGGCCTTAACACTCTGGAACTGAGCAGTGCAAGACAAAGTTTTATACTTCACGGCTCTGTAAGCTCTGTTGGTGTTTGGATTTTTTACCTAGGAAGAAGTTAAAAAGAAAAAAAAGAAGTCTGGGACAACAGAAAACTTTCCCAAGTCCTGGTTGGTCAAGGCGCTCTTCAAAACTTTCTACGTCATACTCTTGAAATCATTCTTCCTGAAGCTGGTGCACGACCTCCTCATGTTTCTGAACCCTCAGCTGCTGAAGTGAGTCCTGGGCCTTGGCTCTCCCTTGAGGGAAGTCCCCTCTGCCCCTCTCCTCTGTGCTGGCCCCTTGGATATGCAGGCTGGAGCTTTTTATTAAACCCCTGCTATTTCAAATGCTGATGAGATTCTTCTACCTGATTGTGTTGTGTTCATGAAAAGCACAAGGCCATTTTCAAGATCCAAAATGCTAGGTCCTTTAGCTTCCCTCTTTTCTATAGCCCTTCCCTCCTAGGAAGCCAGATCCTTGTTAGGAGCTCTTGTTAAACAGAATGGGAATTGTTAAACTGATATGGGAAGAGCAGTGCCCAACAGGTGGGCAGCAGGGTGCAGGACAGCTTTGTACCTGAGCTCTGGAGCCCCCGCCCTAGAGCCGCAGGCTTCTTTGGGAGGTTCAGCGTGATCAGGACAAGACTTTGCAGCGTGTGGGAATCTATGGGATGAATTCTCCTCTAGGGGGAGTTCGAACTCGCATTGGATACAATTACTTCTTGGGCTTGCTTTGTCCAAGATCAAATCCACGTATCCCACGCAACCTCTTTTATCAGGGGGTCGGGGAAGGCCAGGCCAAAGCCTTGCAGCAGCAGGTGTAAGGAGCATTTCTTTCATCATCCCTGCTCACAGCCACGGGCCATCCTCTTGGACCTCTTGCTGCTGCGAGGAAAAGCAAGAGTCCCAGCACGACTGGAGTTCTGGTCTTCCACCGGCTTTGGACCATTCTGGTCACTTTGTTAACCACAGGGCAAGGGTAGGGTAGTTGGCCGTGCGTGAGGAGTGGGGAGAGTCTCTGGAGGCCTGACCGGACCTCACTGACTTCGTTTTGTTTCGGCAGGTTGCTGATCTCCTTTGCAAATACCCAAGACATGTATGTGTGGACCGGGTGTCTCTATTCAGTCCTCTTCTTTGTGGTGGCCCTCGTGCAGTCTTTCTGCCTTCAGGGCTACTTTCAAATGTGCTTCATGCTGGGCATCACTGTGCGGACAACCATCATGGCGTCCACATACAAGAAGGTGAGTGGCTTGTGTCAGAACTTGCTGAAAAAATCCCCTTAAGTGTCAGCATTGATTCCAAGGGGCTGAGAAAAATTTGATGGAAATGATAACGGATCTTAACACTTGATTCTGACTAGCCAGATAGCCTCCTCTGGATTTTTCTTTGCAAGCTGTGGAAAAGTGGATTCACAGACATGTGTGACAAGGGCATGTGTGTGATCAGGGGACACAGGGGAGAACACACACTAGAGGAGAGCTGGCAGGCTCTTCTCCACCCAGGATCTGCCTTTCAGCCTCGAAGGCTTGCATACCTGTCCCTCTCTTCGTGCCTCTCTCAACAAAGTGAGAGCACCTTGGGAAAGAATGGAAGATCAGAGTCCTCCCTTGGCGGCACATACACTAAGATTGGAAACCCTATAAGATCAGGAACAAAGTGCTGGCCCACAGCAAACTCTTAAAACCACCATTTAAATCAGCTACTATGTGAAACTGGGTTCATAAGACTTGTGCATCCATCTCCGTGACAATTTTGCCATAGACTAGAATGCTCTGTGGGCCAGGGCTCCATCTCCCCAGCCCCACTTTTCCTTAGACACGCTTTTTCTCATCTTTAGCATCTGCCCATCCACTCTCTGCCTGATTCCCTTTTTCATTTTGTAAACACACATGCTCTCTGGTTACTGAGTTCTGCAGACTTGGGAAGATTCCCATGACTTTACGAAGATTTTGCTAATCTTCCCTATGATATGTTGCTTTTAACATTTAACTTTCTCAGAGCCACTGTATTTTCCTCGTGTCCCAGATACCAAGGTGAAATCTCATTTTGTCCCTTGAAAATAGAATCAACCCTATCTCAATAAAAAAATAAATGAAAAGAAATGAGAATAGAATAGCTACCATCAGTGACTACAAGCCTGAGGGAAAAATTCATACATGAGGAGATAGGACTTTCTATAGACTAGAACATTAAACACCAATTGCTTTTTCTTCCTTTTTCTTGGACCACTAGAGCATCCCATAGTGATTTCTCTGTTACAGTTCCTGGTTTTCTCCTTTGCATTTGTTTCTTAAAACTAATGTGTCATTGTCTCGCAGATGTTGACTCGTCCAGAGACCCAGACAGGTAGTCCAAAATGTCTTTAGATCAGAAGTCTGGTCCAGACTGGAATTTGTCTCCCCCTCAATTTTTAATCCCCTTATTTCTTTTGGAGATACTGGATTTCTGCCCGTTTGCAGGATATGGGGGTCCCTAACCAGGCTATCTCAGCCATTTCTGTCAATGTACACTTTTACAATCGTGGTGATTCATTCCCACTATTTTTGATTCTTAATATATTCCAAGTTTTAAATGGTTACAATCCATAAAGAATTTATAAAATGGAATCCTTAATAAGTCTCTCATTCAAATAAATTTTGCTACTTAGATAGAATTTGAAATTGATTTCCTAGGTTTAGACAATGCTTCATTAGTGAAATGTTATGAAATTTTTTAAATATCCATTATCAGTTCATGGTCCTGTGAAATAACTGCATTCTTCCTATTTTAGAGAAGTAAGGCTTAGATCATTTCAATACCTACAATCACATAACCAGGTCTTGCCCTCAGATAAGGGCTAGTGGCACTAAACTAATGTCTAATGTCTCTTCTACTGCATTGAAATTTTATAGAGAATAGAATAATGATGACCTTGACGGGTAATTAGTTTGTTTGGCTTTTTGGTTTGTTATGGGAAGGAGGAGTTTGTTTTTGCTCTCCCATTCCAAAGGGGAAACAGAGCAGCCGACTGATTTCTCTAAAACCTTGGTGGCCTAACATTTTGGGGAATTTCCCTCATTTTACTGTATAACCAAGAATCCTGTTATGTTCCAAAGAAGCATGTCTTGGTGGATTAAGACGAGGATGGCTGTGGATCCCTAGGACCACCCCTAGCCCATACACCATCTTTTGTGGGAATTATAAGGCTCTCCTTCCTCTAGGAAGATGTAGCCCATGCTGGGTGGTTGTTTGGTGAGCATGGTGTGAATAAGTGCCAAATCCCTTGGCTGGGTACATTGTGCAAGGCACTGTTGTAAGTGACAGACCTGTGGAAGTCAGTCTTTTGATCTCTCTAACATGAAAACAGAAGCCCATGCTAGATGATTCAGCATCTAGATTTTGCCCACAAGTTCCTGACAATAAGAAAATTGTTTTGCTTCATATGCATGAACCATGCAGCTTTCCTCTTCATGCTAAGATCTCTGTCTTTCTTGGAAATGGTTGCAACTTCCGCATAAGAACGTTGCTCCAAATAACATTGCCACATCCAAAGTCCGAAGGGCCAGAATCAATATGTGATTCCTCCCTTCCTGTCATCCTTCAGTATCTGATGCCCTACTGCGTGCCGTGTAATACAATAGTGAAATGAACAGATGTAGCCCTTGTCCTTACAGCGTTTACATCTGGTGGAAAAGTAGAAAGGTGAAACAATCGCAGTTCAGTGTGATGAAAGTAATGACAAAGGTAAGCCCAGAATGTTCTGGGAGTACCCAGGAAGTACCGGCATCTAACCCAGACTCAGGAAATCTTCTCAGAATAAATTCCATCTGAACTGACACTAAAGAATGGGAATTTTCTGAGCAAAGAAATGTGTGTGTTGGGGAGGGGGTGGCAAGGGGTTCAGGGAGGTTGGAATAACCTGAAAGAGTAATTGAGAATGAGAGAACACTGTGTGTAAGATTTGGAGACAAGAAGGCAGAGCCCCTGGGAAAAGTTGTGTCCATGTGGAGCCCATCCTTCTACTGTGTTCTCACTTCTTGAGTTTCCTTTTTACTCCCCGTTGTCCTTGGCCTTGTCCATAGATCCTAATTCCAATCTTCATCTTAGGCGCTGACCCTATCCAACCAGGCCAGGAAGCAGTACACTGTTGGAGAAACAGTGAACCTGATGTCTGTGGATGCCCAGAAGCTCATGGATGTGACCAGCTACCTTCATCTGCTGTGGTCAAATGTTCTCCAGATTACTTTATCCATCTACTTCCTATGGGCCGAGCTAGGACCCTCTGTCTTAGCTGGTGTTGGGGTGATGATACTCCTAATTCCAGTTAATGGGATACTTGCCTCCAAGAGCAGAGCTGTTCAGGTAAAGAAACCGAGTCACCTTCTTCAAAGTCTAAAGTCTTGGGCTTACTCTAACTCTTGGGCATTTGGGCAGGCAAAGCTGATAGAAAACATTCTACCATCCCACATGAACGTGGCTTTCTCGATCTTCCCTTTTCATCTTTCGGCCACTCTTAAATGTACTCCCTCTTTACTCATGTGAGAGGGCAGAGCCTGATTAGAGAGGGGAGAGCGTCCCAGGGATCCTGCACAGAACTCTTCTAGCCTGCTCTGCTGGGCATCTTAAAAAAAATTATTTTTAAGTAATGTCTACCCCCAGCGTGGGGCTTGAACCCACAACCCTGAGATCAAGAGTCGTACCCTCCACTGACTGAGCCAGCCACTACCCCAGGGCTGTTCTTAGAGTCATGGTGATTGGTCCTGTTTCCTTATCACAGCAGGACAGACCAGTCATTCAGAGCAGATGCATGAGTGACCCAGATTTTAAGCCTAATTCTTGGCAATCAGCCCAGCTACTACCAGTGGTCAGGGCTCTCTGTGCGCAGTCCTGTGATCTGCTAGAAATCCTAGGGCTCCATGCTGAAGGTGATGTATTCACTCTTCACTTTGCCTTCCTTTACTTACAAAGAATTCTTTTTAAAAGATTTATGGTACATACTATTCTGGGATCAGGGCATTAAATTAGACCAAAGCTCTTGGTCTTGTGGAGCTTATGTTTTGTTTGGGGTGGAGAGTCAGGCCATCAACAGAAGTAAACAGGAAATCTATCAGGTCATAAATACGATGAAGAAAATGAAATGGGGTGATAGGAGAGCAAGCGAGTGGGTGGTGGTTTTAGATTACGGGGTCAGGGAAGGGCTGTGAGGAAGGTACCTCTGAGTTCAACTGCAAATAGCAGGAGCCTGACTGTGAAGGAGCAAACCCCGGGAAGTACACCCTGGGAAGAGGCAAGCCAGGAAAAAAAAAATAATAATTATTATTATATTATTTATTTAATAAATATATTTATTAAAATATATTTAATAAAAATATTAATATTTAATAAAACATGTTTTAAGGATCAGAACAAAGATGGGTGTGGCAGGAGCAGCCTGGGCAAAGGGGGTGGGAGGTGGGGGGAGACTTGCATCCCATCACCGGGCTCCTCCAGTTCTTACCAAGTGACATCCACAGTGCCGCCAGCAAGACCTAGCATTCGTGCCAAATCTGGACCTTCTCATGAGGAAGTTGTTTTGTTTTACTTTTTCCTGGCAGGTAAAAAATATGAAAAATAAGGACAAACGGCTAAAGATCATGAATGAAATTCTCAGTGGGATGAAGGTGAGAAGTGGTGGGGGTACAGGTGGCTCTCCATGTAAAATGGCAGCCCCACGGGGTGGCAGCCTTCACCGAGGCTGTTGGGGTGGTGGATGCTCCCTTGGGGGCCTGAGGTGTGTCGCAGGACACCTGACTCCTCTGTCCACAAATCTCCAGGTCTCCAGGCTTCTCCCAACTGTTTCAGGCCCTCTTTCGAATCTTGATTTCTGCTTATTTACCTTCAGTGGTTTCTTTTGTTTTATGTTTTACTGTAGAAATTGTCAAACGCACACAAAAGTAGAGAGAATGATCTTTGGCAGGGAGCCTGCTTCCCCCCCCCCCTCTCTCTGCCTTCCTCTCTGCCTACTGGTGCTCTCTGTCTGTCAGATAAATAAAAAAATCCTTAAAAAAAAAAAGTTCATTGCCTTGGGAAGCCTGGGTGGCTCAGTTGGTTAGGCGTCTGCATCTGTCTTTGGCTCAGGTCATGATCCCAGATTGCTGGGATGGAATCCCACATCGGGCTCCTTGCTTGGCGGGGAGCCTGCCTCTCCCTCTGCCTGCTATTCCCTCTGCTTGTACTCTGACAAATAAATAAATAAAATCTTCAAAAAAAAAAAAAAGTTCATTGCCTTGATCTATTAGTAGTAGCAAAAGATTAAAATTTTAATTCTATTACTCCTTTGGCATTGATTAGCTGGAATTCTATAATGAAGAAGTATCTTTAATCAACTAGTTGGTTACCCTAAAATAAAGTTTGCATAGGACAAGTGGGGTAAATGCTTATTTCTTTCCCTCCATTTGGCCAGCTTTCAAAATAGTGCATTTCCTCCTGCAAAGATCACTAAGAAGTTATTTTTTAATATTTGTGTTGTTTTGAATTCAGGAATCTAAGCATTACCCTAAACTTCTTGAAAATGAAACAGAGGGCTCTTTTTTTAAAATTATGCTCAGTTAGCTAGCATATAGTACATCATTAATTTTTGATGTAGTGTTCAATGACTCATTAATTGCCCGTAACACTCAGTGCTCATCACCACACATGTTAGGATGCAGAGGCCTCTTTCAACTCCCTGATGTTTCTCTACACAGAGCTATCATATGCCTTTCTGCTGAATGTAGTAAATGAAAAGATAGCCCTGGCTTGGAGTCTCAGCTCTTACATTGCTAGCTTGGTAACTTTGGGCAAATTAAGTAGCTTCTTCAACCTGTTTCCCTATCACTAAAATTGATACAATAATTCTACAAAAGTAGGGGACTCTCCCTGGTTTGCCCAGAACTTGCTGGGGTTAGCACTCTGAGATCCCATGTCTTGAGCAACCCCTTTAACCCCAGAAAACTGGGACAATCGATCTCACTAAGGTTGTTACAAGGATTAAGTAAGATAATGTGTATAAACCGTTTTTATACATAGGTTGTCAACAGATGTAACCCACCTTTCTATAATCATACTTTATAATGTGGATTTCTACCCTCTGTCCCCCATTTTGGAGAGCATATCCTAAAATCTGGGCAGATGAGATCTACCTGGTATCCTTTTGGGGCAACAGTGTGAGCTGTGCCGTTTTCTATCCTATTAGATCTTGAAATATTTTGCCTGGGAACCTTCATTCAAAAACCAAGTTCATGGACTTCGGAAGAAAGAGCTCAAGAACCTGCTGACCTTTGGGCAGATGCAGTCCGTGATGGTGTTTCTCTTATACTTGACTCCAGTCCTGGTGAGTAACAGGAATCAGTGGGTTGGATCAGCTTCCTGAAAAGGAAGGTCTGTTCTAGATAGACTGCCCAGTGCCCGTAGGCCTGACCCTGAAAGCCAGGGAGCTCTGCCCCCTCCTCAACTTCCCAAAGCTGCTATTCCTACCTCATGCCCCCCAGCTCTAGTTTCAACCTGGTGTACAATTTGGTGGTCTGTCCGCCCAGAGCACGTTTCCAGGATGGTCCGCATGAAGGTGGCATCCAGGAATGGTTTGCAGAGCAGTGTGTCTTATCTTCTTCAGGAGGCTGTGTGGGTCTAGAGCAGGAAGGAACACCAAAAAGCAAGCCGGGAGACCCGAACTGTGGTCCCAGCGATACTCTTAATTGACCTGTGACCCCAGGCAAGATACTTCCTCTTCTCTGGACTCCGCCTTCTCGTTTGTAACACAAGAAGGTGGAGATAATCATCCCCAAGATTGCTTCAACTCTAATAGACTGTGTTCCCGAGACTTAGCATAAGACTGCTTGAAACCGTTGCGGAATGAATTCCTCATGACCTTGCTTTTCCAGGTGTCTGTGATCACGTTTTCAGTTTACACTCTGGTGGATAGCAATAATATTTTGGATGCAGAAAAGGCCTTCACCTCCCTCACCCTCTTCAATATCCTGCGCTTTCCCCTGAGCATGTTTCCCATGGTAATCTCCTCCATTCTCCAGGTGGGTAGGATCTCTCCCTGCTAACTGATTATCTCTGGTTAAAAGCCTTACTTTCCAAAATAACTGACCTGTCGTAGCTCACTTCCAGCTTCCGTGGGTGAACTTTTGATCAGAGAGATTTCTTTGGTCTCTGGAGACCAAGTTTGGTCTTATTAAAATCACAAGCTCTCAGAGCCCTAGTTTATCTGACTATAAAATGAGGAGAATCATACCAATCTCCTCTACTCACAGGGAGACAATGGTAGTGAAGGCTTTTAGTGAGAGAATGATGACGAGCCCTGATACCTGGAATATTCCTAAGCCTTTTTCCCCAGCCCAGTTTCCCCCACATTTTTCCAAGGCTTTGGCTGGGGGGGTGGAGGGTGGTAATTTATACAGCATTAGGGAAATACGGCACAAAGGGAAAGAAAAGATTCTCTCTGCATGAAGCCATGTGGTGGTAAAACTGAATGTAGTTCGTGAGTTTGGAGTTCGAGAGGCCTCAGACGGGCCAGAGGGAGAATCGGGCTCCTGAAGAGTGAGCACAGTCTGCGAGATGCACCGGGCATCAGCCCTCAGGAGGATGTTCGTGGGGTGGGTGGTAGACTAGTGACATGGCCAGGAAGATGGAATGTGGTGACGTGCATTGACCTCAGGGATGCCTGGCTTCAGTCTGTAAGAATGACGAGTTTAAGAACTCCCTGTCCCGGAGGGTGTTAAGAAAGGCTGACCAATGGGCGCCTGGGTGGCTCAGATGGTTAAGTCTGCCTTTGGCTCAGGTCATGTTCTCCAGGTCCTGGGATCAAGCCCCACATGGGGTTCCCAGCCCAGCAGGGAGTCTGTTTCTCCCTCTCCCTCTGCATCTCCCCCGTCATGCTCTCTCTGTATCTCTCTGTCTCAAATGAATAAATAAGATCTTTAAAAAAAAAAAAAAAAAGAAAGAAAGAAAAAGAAAAAAAAAAGAAAGAAAAAAAAGAAAAAAAGAAAAAAGAAAAAAAAGGCTGACTAACTTGGCTGATGAAGAAACTGCAGGCCCTTTTTAGATTCGGATAGCTTCTTACATGGATCGCAAAAGCAAGATCAGGAGAGGTTTCTGCTCCCTGCATTCCTTGTCTCACAGGATGACTAAGACATGAAGGGGGTCGGCTGACCACGCACCACGGGCAGTGGGGCACTCCTGTCTGAGGCGCTGACCCACACGGCAGCTGCCCTCAGAGGAGCAGGCGAGGCAGACAGTCCGCAACTTCACTAGAACCCAGGCGGTAATGAGAAACCGTCTCCTGGCAGGCCCCCTGGGAATAGGGAGGCAAGTGACAAATGTCCTTATAAGAGCTGGCGGGAATCCTCCCAAGTTCTCCTGTTTCAGGAGACCACAGGGTGTTCTGCCAGTGTTTAGGTCAGCTGTAGTTTGTTTTGTTTTGTTTTATTAACATATAATGTATTATTAGCCCCAGAGTCCTGCAAATCACCAGGTTTACACACTTCACAGCACTCACCATAGCCCATACCCTCCCCAGTGTCCATAACCCCACCACCCTCTCCCTACCCTCTCCCCCCGGCAACCTAGGTCAGCTATAGTTTAAACCTGGGCCGCGTGGACATTTGTAAGGTCTCTGGGGTGCCATGGCCAATTCCTCTATAAAGGGTCCCAGTGGTGGCTCAGTGAGGACCCTGGATGAGCCCAAGGCAGGAACTCCATTACAGAAGAGCATACCAGGGGCCCAGTTACCAAAACCAAACAGAAGTTAGGGTTTTGTCTTAGAAGAAGACAGAAGATGGTTTCTGAAACTGGGTCCAAAGATTGGAGAGAGGGCCATAGAGTTGACCCCCGAGTTTTCTGAAGGGGTGAATCAGAACATCTTAATTGCCTTCTGTCTCCCGAGGCTGAGGTGTGGCTGAGTCTTTGGTGGGTCCGAGGTGCCCACTGTGGCACCTGGCGAGCAACCTGGCAAGTTGACACTGCTTCCACCTCCAGGGCTGATGACAAGGTCAAAATCCTCTCCCTGCTTGTGCTTGTCATTGGATATTTTATTCTTCAGATGCTTTGTGTCCTTCCCTAGGCCAGTGTTTCCAGAGACCGGCTAGAAAAGTACTTGGGAGGGGACGACTTGGACACCTCCGCCATTTGCCGGGACTGCAATTTCGGTGAGGAATTCTGAAGTTGTTCCCCACAGTGCTTCACAACACTGGCACATTGATATTGGGGGGCTTGGGGCAGCCAACTGATTGACAGGGAGAGCTGGGGGTTTGTCTTGAACCTACATTTGCATAATAAGCTTACTGTTTTTACTTAAATTCTGTTTTCATCTAGAGCAGAGTACTTAGCCAGATTGCCAAACTGAGCTGGGCCAGCTACTGTGGGGGTGAGCAGGGAGTCCTGCAAAAGATACAAAAGTCAGGATGGAGCCAAGCATGTGAACTGGGGAAGGTAGGGAAGAACATACGCAGGTTCTGAAGGTCTGAGGCCTGGGGGCCGCCATGGGCCAGAGCGAGCTGTGTGTCTGGAATCCAGGGAGCGGCCAGATTTCTGTTTGGAGGTGGAATTTTTTTTTACCAGGACACAAGGCAACAGAGGGCCTGAGAATGTACCCAGAGTGTCTGCAAGTCCGGAATCTGGGTTCCTGACAGGGCTGGAAATCTGAGCAAAAGGGCCTTTGTTGACGGGCCACCTTTGGTCTCACCTGGGGAGTTCCCCTTTGCCCTTGTTAATAGGGGAGCCAGCACCTGACAGAGGTGACCTCAGGATCCGTCGAAGGAAGCGAAGATGGACATGTGAGAGCTGAGGAGGGGCAGACATGGGGATCTCCATGGGACTAAAAGAGAGGGCCTTCTTCTCCACAGACAAAGCTGTGCAGTTTTCAGAGGCCTCCTTTACCTGGGACCAGGACTCGGAAGCCACAATCCAAGAGTGAGTTGCCTCCTTTCCGTATTGTTGTTCTTCGGGATTTCCCTTGCCAGTCCTGTTCTTGGAAGATTCCACGTAATAGGGCACGTGGGAAATGGGCTATGTGCCCATGTTCAGTGTAGGCTAATCCCTGGAGGGACGAGCTGACGGCAAAATCCTGAGCCTCTTTCCCCGTAACTGCCTCTGACTCCCCGCTGTCTTCCTTGGGGCTGAACGCCTCCAGCTAAGAACCCGTGAAGTACTCCAGACTGTGGATGGAGGGAGCGCAGCATTGGCAAGTGGCCTAGGGCTCTGGGTATGGTAAAGGAGACACACAAGAATCCAAAATCAATTTCATTTTATCCATTCGTTCAAGAATAGTAACCAAGAATATGGCTTCTTTCCCCCCAATGAACAATGGGACTGCCTCTAACTAAGCTTCAACTTGAGTTTTACGTCTAAATAACCCATTTCCGCATCCCACCTCCTCTGCCCTAAGCCCACCCTTTCCTGCCATGCTGCTGCTTGCCCAGGAGTTCCCTTATCCACAGTTTTGCTCTCCATGATTTCGGTTACCTGCAGTCAACCTTGGTCTGGAAGGAGGTGATCCTCCTTCTGACCAACAGTCTGAAGGTCCGTAATAGCCTAACGCTGGGTCACAGCACTGACATTATTCACCTCCCGTCAGCTCTTCAGGTAGGCCTTGTCTGATCTTGCGTCATCAGAAGAAGGGTGCGTGCGGTACCGTAAGAGAGCAAGACCGCATTCACGTGCCTTTTGTTACACTATATTGTTCCAATTTTTCTATCTTGTTAGTTATTGTGAATCTCTTACTGGGGCTAATTTATGAATTTAACTGTATCATAGGGTTGTCTGACAGGAGAAAACACTGTCTACACAGGGTGAAATACACGGCATATATCCAGCGGCACTGAACACAGCACACACGATACCCAGGAAGCCTGTGCAGGCCAGATCTTCCTTCCCGACCCAGCAAACCTTATCTTCTCCCTGTTACACCTAGGACTTGCCACACTTCTTATTTCTACAGCCTTTCCTATGGATTCTGGAACCTGCCCCAGGAGGCATCAGGCCAAGAGCCCCTCCTCTGAACCCTCCCAACCGGAAAGCCTTCCTTTGCAGAGAGAAGACTGGACAGAGCTCCCACTTTGAGCTGAACTTCTTTTAGACTTTTACTAGCAACGGGCAGGTTCAGAAAGATTGTGAGCAAGAGCCCGATGTTCCAAATATTCCAGGGACTCAAAAACAGGATGGGCACAGAGTTCATAGGAGTCCAGGCCAGTGAGTGCTCCTCCCCAGCCAGACACAGCCAGATCTCCAGGGGACAGGGCAGGGAATGTGTGCTTTCAGCAAGTGTCCCCCTGAATGGCTATTCTTGTCGAATAACCAAGTTTGGGAAACACGGATCTATTCCAGCCCCATTAGTCCTTAAATGAGGGTCCAGACGAAGCGACTTTCCAAGATCACACAGCTTAGCGGTAGCAGAGTTGAGACTCAAACTCAGGTCTCCAGACTCCCATTAAGGTCTTGTTCAATGGTATCATGTTGGTGCTAAGAGAATTTTTCCAGTTGAAAGCTATAATGGTACAAAGAACTCATATAGTTGGGTAAGATAGGGTTCACTCTCTAGCCCTTTAGAGCTTAAAAAAAAAAAGTATTAACGAAGCATTTCAGGGTCTTCTATATCCAAGACAAATTTTCCAATCTTGAGGGGAAGTTTCCTAATGCCAGACTTCCCATGGAGAGTCTGAGAAGCAGCCTGAACTACTCTTGAAAAACTCCCTCCATTTCCTTCAAATGCTCTTCTCTCTTTCAGTGTGAACCTGGACATTATGCCAGGCCAGCTGGTGGCTGTGGTGGGCACTGTGGGCTCTGGGAAGTCATCCTTGATGTCAGCCATGCTGGGAGAAATGGAAAATGTCCATGGGCACGTCACCATCAAGGTGAGAGTGGATGCCAAGGAGAAGAGTTCTGACATTCAAGTGTGGGCCACTTAGTGCTGCTTTCTTGTTTGGGAGAATGCACTGAGGAGAATCTGCTAACCGCTGTTGTTGTCTTGCTGTTGGTGCTGTCTTACGGACATTTGTTAGACTTGCAAACTGTAGATCTTTGCCCTACTCCACACATAGATTCAAACTCCGGGGCCGATTCTGGAAACCTGCGGGGTTTTGTGTTTTTGGTTTTTTGTTTTGTTTTTTTGTTTTTTGTTTTTTGTTTGTTTGTTTGTTTTTAAAGATTTTGTTTATTCGCTTGACAGAGAGAGACACAGTGAGAGAGGGAACACAAGCAGGGGGAGTAGGGGAGGGAGAAGCAGGCCTCCCGCCGAGCAGGGAACCCTATGCGGGGCTCAATCCCAGAACCCTGGGACCACGACCCGAGCCGAAGGCAGCCTCCTAACCAACTGAGCCACCCAGGTGCACTGAAACCTGCGTTTTTAATGAGGTCCCCAGGTGATTCCCATATGTATACTTAACTTTGAAAACTTAAACAGAGCCTTCTTCCTTCAAAGTATAGGCAGTTCTGCTTTATCTGTGTTTCTAAAAGCATCATTAAAAATTTACATAACTTTTGGGGGACCTGGGTGGCTCAGTTGGTTAAGTGTGCTTTCTCATGCCTTCAGCTCAGGTCATGATCCCCGGGTCCTGGGATCGAGTTCCGTATCTGGCTCCCTGCTCAGTGGGGAGTCTGCTTCTTCCTCTGCTTGTGTTCTCTCTCTCAAATCTTTTAAAAAAAATGTAACTCTGTAACCAGGGTACCAACAAAACTAATAACAATAATAACAATTAAAACAGCAACATTGTAAATTACACTCAGCATCACAGTTAGCTCTGGACTGCTTACCTCCTCCTTTGAGAGCTTGGTCTTTGAGTGCACTGCTTCCAATACAGAAACGTGATACCAGGTGTAGATATCTTCATCAGTTTTTTTAAACAGAGAAGAAATCTTTTCATAGTAGCTTCATTAGCACTCTCTGCTTCTCCAGAGAGTTAAATTTAGGGGAAATTATAGGTACTTGGAATCATTTAACCAGTCACTACTTGCATCTAAAAAACAAAAAAAAAAAAGTCAATAAGCTTTTTAGCTTTTTTCCTTAAGATCTTCGTATATTGCTAAGCATTTCTTTTTAATTAGGAGAGACCTTGCCCCTGATTGCTTGACACTGACATGCTTAGAAAATTAAGAACTAACGCTTCTTTCACATTTGCTGACACTATTCCCTGATTTACCAATCGCTTATGAGCTAATTTACATTAAATAAACATGCAGTATAGCAGAACAGACTCTATAGATTAAAATCTGTTTCCTAGCTTCCTTTTAAAAACGATTTCTTTATTTTAGAGGGCATGTGAGTGAACGGGGGTAGGGCAGGTGGAGGGAAAGGGAGAGAGAGAATTTCAAGAATTTCAAGATCCTGGGTCACGATCCCAGGATCCTGGGATCGAGTTCCACACCAGGCTCCCTGCTCAGGGAGTCTTTGTCAAGCTCCATCTCTCTTTGGACATGATCTGCTTCATGCATCAGCCTGCACCGTAATTCAAATCTCTTGGTTCTTCCTAAAATATCATCTATATTATCTCCTGTGTCAGTGTTAGCCCTCTGTTGGTCTTAGGAAACTCGGGGTACCTGGGTGGCTCAGTGGGTTAAAGCCTCTGCCTTCGGATCGGGTCATGATCCCAGGGTCCAGGGATCGAGCCCCACATCGGGCTCTCTGCTCAGCGGGGAGCCTGCTTCCCCCTCTCTCTCTGCCTGCCTCTCTGCCTACTTGTGATCTCTGTCAAATAAATAAATAAAATCTTTTAAAAACAAACAAAAAAACCCCTGTTCTAGGAGCAGCATGTGCATTCATCCCCCAGTTTTTGGGATCATGACTACAAAGTGATAGTAAAAAAGGGTGGGAGGGTAAATGAAGAATAGGGTCTCAAATCTTTCTCCCTTGTTGCTACAATACATACAAGCACATTTATAAATATCAGATGCCTAACATTCATCTTTTCAAATCCAAGTTCTGTTTTTTCTTCCCCATCCTCCTATTCCTTCCTCCAACCCTGCATTTCTGGAGAGAGGACTGTCACGTGCTCTGATCCTTCCCATCTAGGGCACCATAGCCTATGTCCCCCAGCAATCCTGGATCCAGAATGGCACCATAAAGGACAACATCCTCTTTGGATCCGAGTTCGATGAAAAGAGATACCAGCAGATTCTGGAGGCCTGTGCCCTCCTGCAAGACTTGGAAGTACTGCCTGGAGGAGACCTGGCTGAGATTGGAGAGAAGGTACTTGGAACCCCAAGGGACCTAGAAGGGTGAAGAAATAGCAAAGGCAAAAAAGTGAGGATGGTGGAGAGGATGGGAGGACAAGAGCTGGCCGGTTTGCATAGTCGGGTTGGAACAAATACCAGAAAACATGAGTTTATACAATATTTGAAAATTAAAAATTTGTAGCTGGAAGCAAATATCAGAGTTGTGTCATCTAAAAGAAAGCTGATGAAGATCTGAGAGGCTAACCAACCAGTGCCTGGCCCAAGGCTGACCTCCCAGGGGGAGGAGCAGAAAGGCAGGACCAGAACTTGTGTCCTAACTCTACCTCCGGATATGAGTGAGGCCCAGAGAAAGGTCCGATAATCTCCTTCGCATGCTTAGAAATTTAGTGTGAATGGTTTTCTCAGGTTATTAATGCCTTTCTTAAAAACAGATTCTTAATGACTTTACTGTATCCATTATATGGTCACAGCATAACTGGTTATGTACTTAGAGTGTTTTCAACTTTCCTCCCTATTACTAAAAATTAATAGAGCAGCCTTTGTGGGACAAGGATCTTCAGATATTAGCAGATTAATGAAGATATGGCTCGAGAATGATTTTGTACATTAATTCAACATACATTTACTGAGGACCTACTATGTGCCACACACTATTTTAAGTGCTGGATTTACATCTGTGAGTTAAATAGAGAAAATCTGCCCTGATCTAGTTTTACATTCCCATGGGGATGGATACAAAATTCATAAGTAAATCATATAATAGAAAATGGTAGGCACCTGGGTGGCTCACTTGTTAAACGTCTGCCTTAGGTTCAGGTTATGACCCCAGGATCTTGGGATAGAGGCCCACATCGGGCTCTCTGCTCAGTGGGAAGTCTGCTTCCTCTCTCCCACTCCTCCTGTTTGTGTTCCTTCTTTCTCCATGTCTCTTGTCAAATAAATAAATAAAATCTTAAAAGAAAATGGTAATTTGGGCCTACATTTAATAATTGGGCAGTATGTATTTGAAGTAATGTATTTTAATCTAAGTTACTTACTTATATAAAGGAACCTATACGATTTTAAAGTCCTTGATAACTTATGGGGGAAAACCGTTTCCTTTCCCCTCCTTAACGAATAGTGTCTGCAAAGGCAGAACTGTGGAGTAGTGCTTAACAGAAATTATTTTATTCTTCAGGGTATAAATCTCAGTGGGGGTCAGAAGCAGCGGATCAGCCTGGCCAGAGCTACCTATCAAAATTCAGACATCTACGTTCTGGATGACCCCCTGTCGGCCGTGGATGCTCATGTGGGAAAACATATTTTCAATAAGGTCTTGGGTCCCAATGGCCTATTGAAAGGCAAGGTGAGAAATTATTTAAAGCAAAGAAGACATTGGCGTGGGGGGTGGGGTGGGGAGACACATGTCCTTGGACTGCAGCTGTCCTGAAGCAAATTTCCTTACTTACCTGCCTCCTAGGCTGCCGAGGACATACAGTGTCACACTGGTCTCCCAGGCGAGGACCCATGAAAGCTTCCAACTTGAGGTCATGGCTTGTGCCAGAACTGTCTGATTGGAGCCTTGTTCTGTGGCTCTGACATTGAGCCTCTTAGGATGATCAATTGTGATAGAAGGCTCTTTGAGACCTTGTGGTATAATAAGGAATATGTTTGGGTTTTTCCCCAGGTCCTGGCACAGACCCCCTAACCCTTGGACTTTGCTGAGTAATAATACTAGGTTTATTAAATAAAACTAGGTGGTTTCTGTTCATAAGCCTGAGGAGTGACTTAAGATGTGTTCCCTCAACGGCTTCAGGACAGGGCTGTTGGAGAGAAAGCCCAGGTGATAGGTGGGTTAGAACTTTCAGCCCCACCTACAAACCTCTGGGGATGGAAGGAGGGCCTGAAGACTGGGTTACAAAAATCTGTGGACAATGGGATTCAAAGGGCTTCTGGATTGGTGTCACAGCAAAGGTCCTGAGAGGATGGCCCAGCTGGTGAGAGCAAGGGAGGCCCACAGGTGCTCCCCACACCCCCATATGTTGCTCTGTTTGCATTTCTTCCATTTGACTCTTCTTGAGTCCTGTCCTTTACAACGAGCTGACAAACCTAAGTGTGTTCTGGAGATCTGTGAGCCACTCTAGCAAGTTATTGTTCACGAGGAAGGGGCTTTATAACTGGTTGGTCAGAAGTATGGGTGGTGCAAGAATTCCAGCCGGTATCCGAGATCAGGTCCATCTCATGGGCCTGAGCCCGTAAGCTGTGTGGTTTTTGCTAATTCCAGGAAGTCAGTGTCAGAATGGAATTGAATCATCTGAAAACCTCCCAGATGACCCAACAAGTCACCACTGGTGCGACAGAGGTCATCCTGCAGGTTTTAGCACTCTGCTCTATGAAGGCACTTCCCCAGATCCCCCACAGGATCTAGGAATGCTGTGCCTGGAAGGGATGACTCAACCTAAACATAAAGAGCCAACATTCCTTGAGTATTCGTTATGTCCCAGGCTGGTGCTAAGTACTTTGATTGCACTTCCTCACTTGGTTCTCGCAATGCTCCTGAGAGACAGCACCAATGAGGCAGCCAGAACAAGTCAGAAGAGCCCATGGTAGGTGAAGACTTGGCTTTTCTTACCATGGGCCACTTAATACATCTTCCCGGACACGGCAGGCTGAAAGGGGAAGGGCTGACAGAGCCCCTCGAGGATTTGAGTGTGTTCCTCACCAGCAGTAAGTGTAGAATGAGGGCTGTCAAAAACAGCTCCCTGAGCATTGGTCAGTAAAAGTCCATCTGTGTTGGGCCTGTTTCTTTCAAGACTTTTTGATTGCTGCCGGTCAGGATGGGTGGGCTGCTGTCCCACTGAGGCCCTTTGCCTCTTTGGATCAGCGAGTCAACAGGAGCTCACTCTCCATCCTACTCCTGGTTCTGGCTCCTGTCTGTAAGTCCTCTTGGCCCCATTTATTCATGAACTGTGTACCACCCTGTGCCTGACTTGTTGCAAAGACTGGGCATACACACATGAGAAGGCCTGGTCCCTGCTTTCAAGTAAACATACAATCTAATGGGAAGACATACAGAAAAGCGAACAATAATAATACAAGAATTATTTTAATGGCAGTCTATACAAACTACAATAGAACCATTGCGGGCATACCCAAGTCTTACCTGGGGACTCAGGAAAGGCTCCCAGAAGACTTGGCTTTGAGCTGAGACTGGGAGAGTGAGCATTTCCTGGGTCTTCTAGATATGAGGGATATGGTCTCTGTGGGGTCATGAGGTAGAGAACAGAGGCAGTGGCTTGGGTCCTCTCTCCAGAGGCCCATTTCAAGCCCATCCCCTGTCTGAAACACATTACTGATCCATGAGTGTTTTTCTTTCTCTGACTGGAGTCTCTGCGTCCTTGGTCAGTGTGGTTCGCAAGTACACAGGAATACAAGGCATGCCAGCGCTCCCGCACCAGGGAGGGCCTGGGCTAAAGACAAAGTTGGATGCCCCTGCCGTGTCTCTAACGTGCTGAAAGAATCTGAGCAGCTCTTGTTAGTTTAGTCGGTTAGCTGGTTATTTGAAGGGGAAGTTAGTTAGCTAGTTATTTGGTTTGTATGCATCAGTTATACTGATAGGCTTTGATCGCAAGTAACATTCCTAAGCTCCCAGGAAGCTGGAAGAATGTGTGTAGGGAAAACCGCATATCACTACAGAAAATAACTGAATATATCCACCAGGGAAGGAGTCTCATCTTACACACAGGGTCTGGTGTTAGGATGAGGTGCTGGAAAGGAAAGAGGAAGGAAAAGAGATTAGGTGGTCAGGGCTACATTTTGAAACCGAGCCCTACTTTGAAACAGAATTAAGATGACTTTTTTTCTTTTCTCCTTTCTTTCTCTTTCTTTCTTTCTTTCTTTCTTTCTTTCTTTCTTTCTTTCTTTCTTTCCTTCTTTCTTTCTCTTTCTTTCTTTCCTTCTTCTTCTTCTTCTTCTTCTTCTTCTTTTTTTTAAGAGCAAGTCAAGGAAGGTGATAGACATTCTGGGTAATTGGAAGTTAGCTACCCATAGTTAGTGGGAGGTTAGTTTCTTTCCTTTTTAAGAGCAAGCCAAGGATGGTGGTGGCCAGAGCGTCTCACTAAGGGAAGGCGATGGTACAACCCACTGTTGTTCTTTCAGACTCGACTCTTGGTTACGCATAGCGTTCACTTTCTTCCCCAAGTGGATGAGATCGTGGTTCTGGGGCATGGCACCATCTTGGAGAAGGGATCCTACAGCTCTCTGCTGGCCAAGAAAGGATCGTTTGCTAAGATTCTGAAGACATTCACAAAACAGACGGGTCCTGAGGAAGAGGCCACAGGTATGTAAGGAAGAATGGAACAGGATAAAGCTTGGGTATGGAAAGGGTAGGACTGGTAAACTGTTATCTCCTTCCTAAACTATTCAGTATCCAATAGATTAGATTTGGAAGTGAATTATGCAGAGATCCAAAATCTGTTCTTTCTGTATTTTATGTCTCTGTAAAGAAACACAGTCTAAAAACTCTGTGCCTGAGCCAAATGGGGGGCTCATCTTGCTCATACGGTCTCTGACATGCAGTCGATGGACACTAGAAGGGTATGACTGAAGATTTAGGGTTATTAGCCCTTGTGGAACAAACACTAGTGGCTTCAGGGGCCCCCTTTTAGGGATGCTGTGCTCTATTGATTCATATTACCCATTCCACCCCACCTACCCTGAATCCACTAAAACCACTTCCTGGGCAGCTTCATAAGCTGGTCCCAAGTGTACACAGAATTTTTTTTCAAAGATTTTATTTATTTATTTGACAGAGCAAGATCTCAAGTAGGCAGAGAGATAGGTGGTGGGTGGGGGAGGAGCAGGCTCTCTGCTGAGCAGGGAGCCTGATGCAGGGCTCCATCCCAGGACCCTGAGATCATGACCTGAGCAGAAGGCAGAGGCTTAACCCACTGAGCCACCCAGACGCCCCTGTACACAGAATTCTTGATAAGCCCTAACAAAGGCATCCGGACCAATATACCAAAACCACTGGGTGTTTCAACTCGGGAAAAATCATGGCAGTTGCATGGTCTCACAGTGTACCATAGGAATAGCCCCTAATACCACCACTATTGGGATCATCAATTAGTTCTAGTCAGCAATGGAGCCCTGATCCCTGAGGACCTTCCCAAGGATCTGCCAACAGTAGTCCTGTACATAGTCCTAGGTATCTACTTCCATAGCAGTCACCAGCAGAAGATCAAGCCTGAGAAAGCAAGATCTGGAGAGTGAATTCCAGAAGTCAGTTGGGAGAGGGAGTAGCTACAGAGCCAGCAAGTGGGGGCTCATGCAGGCACTGAAGTCAGGAAATGTGATGGTTCAAAACCACCCTGGGGAGCTCAAGAAATGGAAAGAAAAGCCTAAACCAGAAAGTCTGTAAGTGTTGGAGGGATAGTGCAGGAGCAAAAACCAGGATGATATGGGTGACAGGAACTGGCAGCCATCCCAGGAGACCGGGGTAGGGGCACTTCATACCAGCAGAAAGGAAGAAGCCAGAACTTTCCATCAGCCTTTATGTACCCTAGGGACTGGCCTGGAGAAAACGAAAAGCACCTGCCTGGGGAGCAAAGGTCCCAAGTCAAAGGGCAGTATCTGTTGCTTGATTCCCCTGAGTCATTGCTTAGTCAACCACATCACCATGACTTGCTCCAATAGTTTCCTTATGCTAAGTCTAGCCTTTCCCCGCCTCCCTTTGGCCATGATCGGAGTTTCTGGATTCTGTTATAAACCCCCATGGGTGGATGGCCCCTTTGAAGTAATCCTGTCCTTTATGTGGCAAAGGTCAGTTTGCAAAAGAGCTCATCAAGCCTTTGTTCTGGTAAACACTGATTAACTAGGTCTGAGCAATGCCTGGCATGCTGCTGCTGTAGGTTCTGGGACTCAAGGTTCAGACCAGTATATGGCAGAATGAAGGGAAGGGCAGGAGGGCAAAGTGACCTGTATCAATACTAGTTTGGTGTATTAGTTTCTTAATTAGCTGGCATAACAAAGAACTACAGACCGAGTGGCTTAAAAAACAAATTTATTTTCTTATGGTTCTGGAGGCTAAGTCCCAAATCAAAGTGTTGGTAGGATTCATTCCTTCTGAAGGTAATGGGGAAGGATATGTTTCAGGCTTCTCTCCTAGCTTCTGGAGGTTTCTTGGCAGTCTTTGGCAATTTTGGCTTGGAGACGCACCACATTGTTCTCTATCTTCATCTTCTCATGGGATGCGTGTGTGTCTCTATGTCCAAATTTCCCCTTTGTATAAGGACATCAGACATAATGGATTAGGGGCCCATCCTACTCCAATATGACCTCATCATAACTATGTCTATAATGAGCCTACTGCCAAATAGGGTCATATTCCGAGGTAGTGGAAGTTAGGATTTCAACACACACATTTGGCAGCAGACACAATTCAGTCTATCACACCAGTCCTCTGACACACCCAAATGCTTTCTCGTGTGCAAAATACATTCATGCCATACCGACATCCACAATGTCTTAATTATTCCAGTATCAACTCTAAGTCCAAAATCTCATCTAAATGTCAGTTCGAAGTCCCGCATATCAACATTTGACTCATGCAAGTCACTTGTGGGTGAGACTTGGAGTCTTGGCGCAGAATTCCTCTGCATCTGTCAAGCTGCAAGATCAGACAGGTTATCTGCTTCAGTAGTGAAACAAGCATAGGATAGACATTCCCATTCCAAAAGGGAAAGATCCGAAGGAAAAAAGGGGTCATGAATCCTAAGCAAATCTAAAATCTAGCAGGACAGGTTCCATCAGATTTTTAAGGTTCGATAATGATCTTGTTTGGCCTGATGCTGTCTGTTGTTTAGGCTCAACCTGGGCTGGTGGTTTCAACTCCTCCACCCCTGGGCAGCGGTTGCACCCTATGGAACTGAGGAGTAGCCAACCCCAGTGTCATTGTCCCGTTTACTTCAATGATAACACAGCTCTCCGCAGCTGGATAGCTCTATTGGTACATGTTCCGCCTCTAGAATCCTAGAAGTCTGACAGTGTTCCTTCTTTTAGTCCTGTCTCTGTCCCCTCCAGTCCAGACGGGCAGCACTTCTGCTAAGAGGGTTGGTCGGATTAAGTCATATACTCAATCTCCTTAGTAAATCTGCTCTTGAGCCTTGCTGGTGGATTTTTCATTTTCATTATTGTGCTTTTCTAGAATTTGTTTTCTTTTTAAAAATTTGATCTCTTTATTGATGTTCTCTATTTGATGAGAACTCATACTTTATTTTTTTTATTATTTTTATTTATTTATTTGACAGAGACCACAAGCAGGCAGAGAGGCAGGCAGAGAGAGGAGGAAAAGCAGGCTCACCGCTGAGCAGAGAGCCCGATGCGGGGCTCGATCCCACAACCCTGGGATTGAGCCCGATGTGGGGCTCGATCCCACGACCCTGGAATCATGACCCGAGCTGAAGGCAGAGGCTTTAACTCACTGAACCATCCAGGTGCCCCTCATTCTCATACTTTAGATCTCAGACATGGCTTCCTTTCATTCTTTGGACATATTTGTAATAGTCAATTTGAAGTCTTTCTCTGCTAAGTCCAATGTCTGTGCTTCCATGGGTACAGTTCCTGTTGACTGTTCCTCCCCACCCCCACCCCGTATATGGTCCCATGCTTTCTTCTTTGTATGTCTCACAATTTTTTTGTTGAAAACTGGTCACTTTAAATAATGCAACTCTGGAAATAAGATTTTTCTTCCTTACCCTGCCAGAATTTGTTGTTGTTTGTCCTGTTTAGTTTCCTGAACTAATTCTTATGAAATCTGTATTTTTTGTCCTATGTGGCCACAGAAGTCTCTGCTTGGTTGGTCAGCTAATGATTGGACAGAGATTTCCTTAAGGGCCTGGAAATAAGTCACTCAGCTTTTTCTGAAAGACTTCGTGGTGGGAGGGAAGGCATATCCCTAACACACCAATAGGCAGTTGACAAATCTGCTTCACCTTTTTTTCCTTCTTGCCCAGAGTCTGAAGGTTAGCCTGGGTAAGAGAATAGGACCTTCTCATGTCTGTCTTGAGCATGTGCACAGCCCTACCCGTGTGTACAGCGTTCTAGATTGCCAGGAATACATTAAAAATATCAAAGATCTCTAAGTGTATCTTCTTCCCCTATTTTCCCTTTTAAGTTTTTGTTTAGCTTATTATTTGCCCCAACTGTTATCATCCCTTAGGCAACTGCGATGTTAAACAGTTGCTGCTGATTATTTTAGCTAACTCCAGTAAGTCCGGTCCAATAAAGACAAGCCCTGTGAATCACTTCTCGGCCTTTTGGCTAAGATCAAGTGTAAAGACAAGCCCTGTGAATGGGGTTTTCTAGAGAACTGCAGGCAGGTCAAATAATGACAATTCTCTAGGGATTAAAATTGGTAATCCAAGGGTTAATGGGACTAGTAATCACAACTGCAACTTTTTACCCAGGCCTTTTTTATTTACCTTTAAATTCCCCTGACTCTCCCATCTTTGGGGAGGCAAATTTGAGGCTTGTCCTCCCATCTCTTCATTTGGCTTCATCTTGCGTAAACCCTTTCCTTATTGAACAGTCAGTATCTCAGTGATTGCCTGTCCTGTTCATTGGGAAGTCAGACTTGGGTTTGGTTCCAGGATGAGACTTTTGGGAGAGTTTTGAACACATTCCCTTCCCTCCAGCAGTTAGGAGGCTGCTGATTTTTTTGTAGTTACCATGTTTGTGAGGTTATTAGTATTCTAAGCTATAGCAGATCCAAGGAGGAAATTAAACTATCAAAAAACTTAATGTTCTTACTGAGATTTAGCTATTTTTCTTAAATAAATGTTCCTTGGATTGTTGAAAGACTGGTTAATTTCAGAGTTATAAAGTTGGTTTTAACAATATTTTGCCATTGGGGCACCTGGGTGGCTCAGTCATTTGGGCGTCCTCCCCGCTCATTCTCTCTTCTCACTATCTATCTCTGTCTTTCTCTCAAATAAATAAAGTCTTAAAAAATATATTTTGCCATTGATTTCATGGAGTTATCAATTTCCAGAGCTCTTTATCATTGCCACTGATGCCCAGGCTGTTTTAGATTTTATTTTTAATTTTTAAAATTTCTTTCTTATTTGCAGGATATGTTTTTTGAATGTTTTAAATCCAGGGTGCCTGGGTGGCTCAGTCAGTTAAGCATCTAACTCTTGATTTTGGCTCAAGTTATGATCTCAGGTGGTAGGATTGAATCCCACATCAGACTCCATGCTGGGCATGGGCCTGCTTGGAATTTTCTCTCTCCTTTCTTCCTCCTCTCTCTCCCTCTCTAAAAGGGAAAGGGAAAAAACAAGAATAAAAATAAAAAATATTTTAAATTCGTAAAACTTTGTAAAGTTATTTGAAGTTCAAGAAGAGCATTTTCAATTTACACTCACCTCCTTAGTCAATTCTAAGAATTAGGACTCTTCTGCTTATCTACTCTAACCCTTAAAAAGTGCTTTTCTTGGGGCGCCTGGGTGGCTCAGTGGGTTAAGCCTCTGCCTTCAGCTCAGGTCATGATCTCAGGGTCCTGGGATCGAGCCCCGCATCAGGCTCTCTTCTCAGCAGGGAGCCTGCTTCCCCCCTCTCTCTCTCTGACTGCTGCTTTGCTTACTTGTGATCTCTCTCTCTGTCAAATAAATACATAAAATCTTAAAAAAAAAAAAGTTCTTTTCTTGCTGCAAAGAAACTAAGACGCTTCTGAGAATATTTCTCTCCTTTTGAACATTTCTCTTCTACTAGAAACTCCTCTCTCCTTTATTCTGGTATTTCTCAGTGAGAAGGTGTATTAATCAATAATCATTCTGGAACAAAATCACCAGCCTGTGTGTATGTCTGGGATCTCTTGCTGAGGGGCCAGCAAGATCAGAAAAGAATTCTTCTTGTTTGTAGAACTTTGCAGCTCTATGTTGCCATCTCCCTAACCTTTGATGTGTCTCCTAGTCAATGAGGACACTGAAGAAGATGATGACTGTGGGCTGATGCCCAGTGTGGAGGAAATCCCTGAGGATGTGGCCTCCTTAACCACAAAAAGAGAGAACAGCCTTCATCGAACACTCAGTCGCAGGTTGGTCATCTCGTCAGCTGGTAGCCCTCAGCACATCCATGTTTCCACTTGATCATTCTCTTTCTCTCTGTGGGCTTTTCCCAAGGGAGTGGACACCGGGATACTCCCACCCCTTTGTTTCTTTGAATGGAGTGGGGCTGGTGGGGGGTGGCAGGTTTCCCCCAGAGCACTTCAATGTAAGCAGAGCGACTGTGACACATGCTTGCTTCTTGTCCTTGGGGTGCACCTACGTGCTCAAGAACGCATCCCCCCCTCTCGATTTCTCAGTTCTAGGTCCAATAGCAGGCATTGGAAATCCCTAAGAAACTCTTTGAAAACTCGGAATGTGAACACCCTGAAGGAGGAAGAAGAAACAGTGAAAGGACAAAAATTAATTAAGAAGGAATTCATACAAACTGGAAAGGTGGGCACCACGATAAAATGTTCCATTTGAGGTGATACAAGGCTTGGGATCTGAACATTGTAAAGTTTGATGATTTGACTATCTGTCTCCGGGAGGGATAAGTCTTGTGTCCTTTGCAAATTGTTAAATTCATCATTGAAATGTTGGTAGAGGCTTTGGGCTTTCTATCAAATCATATTTCCAAGAAGGATAGGTTTCCTGTGTATATCCTCCTAGCACATTTCATGAATGATTCCATCTGATATGGGGAGAGAACAATAAAACTGATTTGAGATGCAGGCCTTGGACCCAGAGAACACTAATAAATCAATCTCAGAGCACACGATTCAAATTAGTATAACTTAAGACCTTAAACCTAAGACCTTGGTTTGAACTTAAGTCCAAATTAATAAGAACAGATTCCAAGGTCTACAGTATAACCCCCATCCCATTCTGGGGTGTGTGTGTGTGTGTGTGTTGTTGTTGTTGTTGTTGTTGTTGTCATCCCACTCTGTTTTTATCTTTCTCCCTTAATCACATCTAGAAGCTCATTAATAATGTGATGTTATTTCCCCTGCACTGTATTTCAGCATTGATTATGATCCTGGCCCAATGCAGAAATAGACCACAGATGACCAAATCTTGCTACCTGCTATCCACTTTTCCAGGGGAGGCCACTCCCCCTTGTGATTGGTATTCTAGGTAATTCCTCACCGAACGCCATTAGGATTTCTAACACTGAGGATGGGGCTTTTCAGGTGAAGTTCTCCATCTATCTCAAGTACCTAGGAGCAATAGGATGGTATTCAATATTCTTCATCATCTTGGCCTATGTGATCAATTCTGTGGCTTATATTGGATCCAACCTCTGGCTCAGTGCTTGGACCAATGACTCTAAAACCTATAATGGCACTAACTATCCAGCGTCTCAGAGAGATCTGAGAATTGGCGTCTATGGAGCTCTGGGATTCGTGCAAGGTACGTCTGATGGCGATGACAGCCATCTCTTAGAGAATCTGTCTCGTCTGTGTACTTTGCCTAGACTCAGGGCAAAAAAGATGCCCTTGTGTCCTTGGCACAAGTCCTGCGGACCGTGCTGACTAATCGGTTCTATTTCTAGGTGCATTGGTGCTCATAGCAAATCTCTGGAGTGCCCATGGTTCCACTCACGCATCGAACATCCTTCATAGGCAACTGCTAAGCAGTATCCTTCGAGCACCCATGAGTTTCTTTGACACAACACCCACAGGCCGGATTGTGAACAGGTTTGCTGGGGTACGTACCTGAATGGCTGTGTGATGTGTTTGTATGCTGAGGGTGTTTCCACTCTGACAGGGACAGAATTCTCCCATGGCCCAAGGCAACGCCATGCCGTTACAGTTTCTCGGTTCACTTAGCGTGCACATGCTTCCTGCATACCCAGGATGAGGTCCCAAGGATCCTGGAGATACAGAGACGAAAAGCTCTGGCCCTTTAAGGCGCTCACCGCTCACCGACACTGAGACAACCAAGGAAATAAGAGGAGTATGACGGAAGACAGTAAAACCAGTGACAGCGATGTGTGTAGAGTGGTCTTCTGGGAACACAAAACAGTGACAGAGAACAGCAGTAGTAGCTCAGCCTGGGTGACAGGGCGGGAAATGTCAGAAAACATGAGACTTAGGTCCTAGAAGGAACTTTCTTAGCCAGGGAGTTGGTGGAGCCAGGGGTTGGCGGTAGAAACAAAAGGAGAAGGAATATTCTGCCGAGGGGGAAACACAAGTAAAAGCACGATCACTGGCTAGAATGGTGAATAAAAGGGAAAACAGGAAAACCCTTTGCTTAGTCTATGTTCTGTTCCTGCTTCTATCTTTGCTACTTTAAGAATAAACTGGGTCTGAACTATGGAAGAGAGCCATCTATAATTTAATTTAATTTTTTAAAAGATTTTATTTATTTGACAGACACAGCGAGAGAGGGAACACAGGCAGGGAGAATGGGAGAGGGAGAAGCAGGCTTCCTGCCGTGCAGGGAACCCTATGCGGGGGCTTGATCCCAGGACCCTGAGATCATGACCTGAGCCAAAGGCAGATGCTTACTGACTGAGTCACACAGGTGCCCCAAATTTTAATAAGGTTCTAAAACCTAGTCTCTACATACTACAGATCCTGGACCCCTTGGCATTCACTCATTCCACAGCACTTCTTGAGCACTTGAGAGGAGCACTAGAACGCTCACTAAACGTTAAGATTGTAGATGGCTCTCTTCCAAGGGCCAAACCCAACTCATTCATTCTCAATGCATAGGAGATAGTAATTTCAGGAACAGAGGAAGAAAGCAAGGAATTCTGAGTAACAGTCAACTGTCATCAGCACAGTTTAAGTCCTCTGTTTGTAGAAGAGGGAGCATGTTTTTCAAAATGTCTGAGCAGCTACGGGCCCTTCCTGGTTTCGTCTTGGAGCAGATAAAAGAAAGGCCAGCCCACAGCCAGGTTCTGGGGACACAGTGGCTGCTTCAAAAGTGTGCATATTGATTGGTCTGCATTTATCACTTTCTTCTAGGACAAAAATGGTGAGCATGATATCATTGGGGACCACTTCAATAGGTTTTCTGCTCTTCAATAGAACCTAAAATAGCATACAATTTTAGATGGGAAGATTCTCACGGGAATTTTGCAAAAATTGCACACTTTTATGTTGCAAAATATACATAATCTTCTGAAAAAGGAATGCAGAACTCTTACTGTGAGTTAGTAAGGCAACTGTTCTATTTTGCTCACTGCTTTTGCATGAAAAAGGAAACTCGTGTTTGATTATATGGTGAGTTATAGGGGAAGGTTTCCTATAAGGGAAAGTTTGATTTAGAATCCTCTCGGATTGATAGCTGAGCCCCTAAGAAGAGGTGAAGGGAAAGGGTGGAAGAAAGAAAGCTGGAGAATCTGTGCCAAGTAGGGGTAAAAAGTAACCTACATAGAACTGATAGCCTGTGAGGATTTCTTTTTTTTTTTTGCCAATCCTGGACATAAAGTTATTTGCATCCTGCTATGACTTTGGGAAGGTAAATTAGACTCAGGAGTCATTCAGGACTCTCTTGGGAAACCTACCCTTACCCAGATTGGGACACTCCAGAGATAATTTGAATTCGCCTTGATAATCACATATTACTAATTGTAGAATCAGCAATATTGAAGAAATAATCGGTCAGGGAAACCCAAAGTGTAAGTCAGGCTTCCTTGTACAGTATACTAAACCATTATCCATTCATCCACCTGTCCATTTGCTCATTTATTCAACATGACATGAAGGCAATATGGCAGTAAGACCAATTTTTCACCTCTGGGTTACTCTGTTAGAACACTGGTCAGGCAAGGGTCACATTCAAACTCCTCCTCCCTCTCCCCTTGAAGCTCTGTGCTCGGTGGAGAAAACAACTTCCCAGTTAAAGGATGGTTCTTTAGTCAAGTGGGGGTGACCAGGCTTGTTGACTGGAGCCTTCATACGAATTAAATGCTGGTTATGTGCCAGGTTCTGTTTAGGCACTCAGTGGAGTTAGGCCCCTTGTACAGTTAGATTAATTGAATTGGCTTGGTTATAGGAGGATTTACCTGTAAAGCTCTATTAGCTTACAATGGTTTAATAAATTCAAAGACCTTTACCAAGTCTATTGAAAAAGGTGAAAGGTGACCGCCATATCTGTTTGGAGGGATTTAGAAAGAGGAAGAAATTACAGAAATGAGATTGGTTATTGGGAGGAGCACAACCATATATTGCAAATGAATATCACGAAATGATTAAACGAAGGAGACACTGAGAGCCCAGAATCAAACAAATTCTCTGCTGGAATCAGAAAGATGGAAAATGGGGCAGGAATCCATTAGTATACCATTCTTCTAATTCTGTGTTCCTAGGATATTTCCACAGTGGATGACACCCTTCCCTTATCCTTGCGCAGCTGGATATTGTGCTTCCTGGGAATAATCAGCACCCTTGTCATGATCTGCACGGCCACTCCAGTCTTCGTCATCGTCATCATTCCTCTTGGCATCATTTATGTGTCTGTTCAGGTAGGTTTGGAAACAGCTAGGTCTCCTCTCTACTTATGAAAGCCCAGGTTCTTTCCTGAGAATCTTCTGTTTTGTCTATTGCTAGTCACTCAGTCCTGTCCAGCATCTTTGTCATTTAGTCCTATATTGATATACCAAGGAGCCGTAGGCCACTGTCTAGAGCTTAAACATCAATACCAATTGGTATATGGTTCAGAGAATATCTCACCTTAGCTGCTGCCCCCCAGAAGCTTATATGGGGAAGATTTATGTTTGGATCCAAGACTACCTTGAGGTAGTCAAGCCATCCAGAGGTTGGCACTGGATGATCTTGAAGTTTGGTTACATCCCCCATAATGGTTAAGTCATTGGTTGCTTCTAGAAGGGTTATATACTATGGCTGCTTCCTTGATTGGCTTAGGCTTATCTGCTGGGAGATGTATCTCAGCAGGAGCTAGATCTCTTCTCACTTCAGGGTAGTTCTAGTTTCACTGCGATGCCTATGAATGATGGGATGTCTGTAGGCTCAATGTCAGTATGTTCTTGAGGGAACCGGTGGCTTGAAAGCCAATTCTCAGGAAAAAAAAAAAAAAAAGAAGGGACTCCATTCCCATATTAAAAACTGATGAGGGGAGGCAAGCTGTGGAGAGAATTCCCTAGGATGCTCTATTTGCCTTGGGAAAACAATTCCAAAAAACTTGCATTCAAGGGCAGCCCTGTCACCTGTGGTAAGGTGATACCCCCTGGTATTTGTGTTAAGTTCCTCAGGTACATTGTTACCTCAATGACAGCCTCCCATCCAATAAAGAAGCAGGATATTTAAGGAAATTTCCAGGTATAACATTTTGAATTCTGATACTCAAATGCCCATCCCTTTCCTGATTTCAACAAATCTCCACAGAATCTCGTAGTACCACTGAACCTCATCCTTCAACCCTTGTGTCTCAAAATCCAACTGTACACTTTTAGTTCTAGTTCTTAGACTCTCGACACTCCACACATTTCCAGAACTATCTCTATCTTCACAAACCATTGAAGCACAGTGTGGTCACTTACCTGACTGTTCAATTTTTATCTAAACCTCAGAATGCCTTTCTCTGGCCATTTCCTGTCCATCTCCACTTTCCATGCCCCTTGGGTCCCAGCTACAATTTACAAAATCCATTTGGAGACCATTTTTCTAGCTGCTACAAAAACTGTCACTTGGACAGTGTATGCAGATTCTTGGGAGAATATGGATTAGGCTGACAAAATTCCTCATATGGTTATAGTCTCCTCACCTTCATCGTCTTCTGTTCTCTACCAACCTCTTCCTTTGCACCTCTCTCATCATTCCTCTAGCCAGAGGGGAGGCTGGAGGCTTCTGTCCTGTTCAAATATGGGCTGTGCCCATCAAGGTGAAGGACACTAGGTCAGGGCCACCAAGGAAGAAGTATCCCATATGCAACATGATTGTGTGACTGACTCTTTACTTTTGGGGTCCAGATATTTTATGTGGCCACTTCCCGCCAGCTGAAACGCCTGGACTCTGTCACCAGGTCCCCAATCTACTCTCACTTCAGTGAGACAGTGTCAGGTTTGTCCATCATCCGCGCCTTTGAGCACCAGCAGCGATTTCTGCAACACAATGAGATGCAGATTGACACCAACCAGAAATGTGTCTTGTCCTGGATTGTCTCCAACAGGTGAGGCTGCCCCTGTGTATTTACTGAAATATGAACTTTAGGCTTCCACGTGTTTGATATTAGCTATGGGAGGGGAGGTATAGCCAGTGATGTGAATTTCACTGTGGCCAAACATGGCTGTCCCGTAAGTAGAAGAAAGTATGGGCTTCAGGGTCAGAGACGGGGTCCCTGTGCCTACTTTGCTTTTTAACCAAGCTAGGTAAAATGCCTTGACCTTCAAAGGAAAATCTCACTTCTTGTTTTTACAATGACTAGAACACAACCTATATCATAAGTCAAATGACTTCTATAAGCATTTGATATCCCAGGTACCAAACAAGCGGGGTGAGCTGGGCATTCGTAGTTGGCATCCCTGAGAAGCGGATGTGAGATTCTCCACAGGCAGGACACTCTTTGTAGGGTGGCAAAAGAAGCTTGCTCACTTGGTCAAGCATGTCACTCAACCTTGGGGTTGTGAGTTTGAGCCCCATGCTGGGGGTAGAGTTTACTTTAAAAAAAAAAAAAAGTGAATTCCCATACTCCACTCTAGGCTCCCTGAATCAATCTCCTAGGAAAGAGTCCCAGAATTTTCTTGCATGAATTTTGTATTTTTAATAATTACCTCAGGCAATTCTTCTGCTTTGGCAAGTATGAGAGACCCTGAATCACAGGATTCCCTTCATGTAGCAAACTTCCCTAGTACCTTTAAAATGCCATTTATTTTCTAAAACCTAATTTTAAAAGACTTTAGGAACATATGATATAGTCAGATTGAGGCATCTTGTGAGAACACAGCCCAACCAACTCAATCCCTCCCAATGTTCCATGGACATGTAGGTTGCTGGTTAAGGTAAGGAGGTGAATGTCAGTGACACTTTTTCTCTGGTTCTGTTGCCCTACAGGTGGCTTGCAATTCGTCTGGAGCTGATTGGGAACCTGATTGTCTTCTTTTCATCCCTGATGATGGTTATTTATAAAGATAACCTAAGTGGAGACACTGTGGGCTTTGTTTTGTCCAATGCGCTTAATGTGAGTATGAAGGTTGGGAGTTAAATTAATGCACTTATTCTCAAACTGAGTCTAGAGTATACCATGGAGTTTGTGTTCTTGATTCCTTTCTAGACCCAGAGGGACAAGGGAAGACTGAGGTTCAAGCCCTGGCTCTGTCTCTTACTAATTGTGTAACCTATTGACATGTTCCTTACCCTTTCTGAGTGGGTACCAGTGTCATCTGGAAAAATGGACAAAAATGTTGTTGCCCTTGGGAGTTAAGAAAGCAATGTGAGGGGCACCTGGGTGGTGCAGTGGGTTGAGCATCCAACTCTTGGTTTCGGCTCAGGTTGTGATCTCAGGGTTGTGAGCTAGAGCTCTGTGCTGGGCTCTGCGCTGCTCAGGGTGGAGTCCGCTTGGGATCCTCTCACCCTCTGCCTCTCCCCCCCTACTCTCGTGCCCATACTCTCCCTCCCACTGTCTTCCTCAAATAAATCTTAAAAGAAGACCGCAATTCAATATGACTTAATCTGATAGTTCCCTGTCTCTTTGCCTCTTTGCCTGATTCTAGTCAAAAGAGAATAAATGAGTTTCTTTCCATTTATTTATTTTTTAAAGAAGGCTCCACACCCAACGTGGGACTCAAACGCATGCCCTTGAGATCAAGAGTCACATGCTTCACCAACTGAGCCAGCCAGGTGCCCCCAGTTTCTTTTCCATAATATAGTAGTAATGAAGTCTTTTGACTATCTTTTTCTATTTTTGTTTTTCTTAAATCACAGAATAAATTCTAATAAAGAATGTGGTCCAGTAAAGCTATATAATGTATCCCCAGTATGACTAGGCAATACCTTATTTCCTAGTGCCCAAGGTTGTGGCTGACACTACAATCTGTATTCACTAAAGGATACTCATTTTATGAGTCATTTGACCATCTTTCATGATATTTTGGGAACTAATATATTGGCTTATATAACTACCAGTCAGTTCTGTATGGTGCTGTGCTCATTTGGAGTTAATAAGGCCTAAGGCAATCACGGTGGGGCCCCAAAGAGAACTCTCTTATACACCAGAGTTATTCAGTTCCTTGCACCACTGCTCCTTCATTATCCCCAACCCCATTTTTGGGCTTATTAACCTTGGGTGGATGGGGCAAAGGCAACGATTAGACTAAATGAAAACAAAAACATTCAGATATCAACAATTCATTTCACATGGTTCTACCTAAACAAAGTGGTTACTCTTCTCTCCAACATCCTGTACTCTCCCTCTTTTTAACCACCATTTGCTCAAAAAAAAACCCCCAACAACCCTGGTCTAAGTGTATGTGTGAAAGAAGCTTGCATCTAAGTAATCCACAGATTCCCCAGGCTCTAGACGCACAGACTTGGACAAGCTCTTACTGCTGGTTACACGTATTTCTGCAGGCAGGAGTTTACTGGGGTAAAGGAGGGTCCTTGTCGATGCTCCACCCTGAGCCTTGGGCTCTTGTTGAAAGCAGAGAGAGGAAGCAGCTTTTTGGAAAGCTTTCTCTTATGCTTTCCCCATTTATAGAATGCCACCCACTACTCCTTCCACAGAGAACATTGGGCTTCCAGGCAGGAGATTGGAGTTCTGGTCCCACTCTACCACCTGCCAGCTTCTCCAACCCCAACTTAGCCCTACCCACTCTGGTCTCATGTTGTCTTTCATGTGCCATCACACGGTTGAGCTCTTAATTGTCTTCCAGACCTTACTGGTCTCATTGCCTCCCCCAAGGAGGTGAGGACTGTCACTGACACTTTCCCCTGCTCTCTCAAAGAGCTCAGCATAGTGCTAGTACGAAGTGGGCACTGGATTGACCTTATGGTTTGACTGAGTTGATATCTGAGCCAGAGGTGATCTTTAGTTTTCTGGTTTTTTTTTTTTTTTTTCTGTAGATCACACAGACCTTGAACTGGCTAGTGAGGATGACGTCAGAAATAGAGACCAACATTGTGGCTGTTGAAAGAATAAATGAGTACATAAAAGTGGAAAATGAGGTAAGGAGGATTTAGAAGAACCCAGGGACAAGGCAAAAGAAAAACGTTCCCTTCAAGAGCACATCTTTACCCTGTCTAGCGATTTTACATGGAGTCACAAAGGTTCTTCTAAAGTTTGCTTTGCTCTAATTCAACCCAATTTCTTGAAACTTAAAATAGGAAATGGTTTAAGGGGAGGTGAGGTCTTGGAATGCATCAGGTTAAAGGTGTCTTCATTCTGGAAGTCCACAGAGCAGCACCCTGGAATGGAGCTTCTTTGAATAAGACAGGAACCTTCTGGAAGTACTAGTCTAATTCATTCTAGTCAATACAGATGCCCACAGGTGGCTAGGACACAGCTATCCTCCTAGTCTGTGACACGAGACCTGTGGGGACTATTCAGTGAGTTGCCACCATGTAAAGCACTTCTCTTCCTCTTTGCCAGGCACCCTGGGTGACTGATAAGAGACCTCCCCCAGGTTGGCCCAGCAAAGGGGAGATCCAGTTTAACAACTACCAAGTGCGGTACCGGCCGGAGCTGGATCTTGTACTGAGAGGGATCACTTGTGACATTAGGAGCATGGAGAAGGTAGGTGAAGCTGAAGAAAGGCCTGAATGTGCGTCCTCGTGATCAGGACACAGTTGGACACAAGGGTGGAAATCAGCTGGACTCTGCTTTCATTATTGGGCTGGAATGAGAGGGTCAGGGCAGTCTTCTGCCCTGGGAAGGTGCAGGGACACAGTTCCACCACCAGAGGGCAGGAAATCAACAAGGGATCAAACCGACTTACTGGGGCTGGAAGGGTTTTCTGCTCAGTCCTTCCCCATCTCCCTGAGGCACCCGCAGCACCGTCTTCTCCTCTGGCTGATGGGGGCTCATTTCCTGTAAGGGCCATGTCTTGTGGAGGGGAAGTCAGGAAGCACCCAGCCTAGGGAAGGAACTGGTGAGAACAGCAATGTGGTCCCAGCAGAGAGAATGATTTAGTTCTCTGGTCTGCAAAGTCCTGCACCTTCCTGTGGTGCTCCTGTTCTCAAGGACTTGGGGTCTGATGTAAAAACATAGAAATATTTAAAAAAATTAAAAAAATAAGTCTGGGTAAGGTTGCTGATGAGGTTCTCAAGTGATGTGAGGCCTGACTTTCCCTTTTCCTCACTTCTAAACAAAGATTTAAAAAAGAAGAAGAAAAAAAAGAAACCCAACCTATAATGTCCAGTCATAATTGTAAGAGCTGCTGAGGTGTCCATTTCCAACAGTCACTGTAGTTCTGAGCAACAGCAATTGAGAAACTAGAATGAGAAGGCCTCTTTTTCTGACATCTGGGCACTTTTTTTCTCTCACCAAAACCAAAATTAGTAGAATATCTTTGAGAAGGAGGAGCCAATCACGGCCTCTTTCCACCTGGGCTTCGGAATGGCCAGACTAAAATCGTCCTCCCGAAGAAGTACATGGTGAACTAATGTGCAAAGGAAATGTATTTACAGATTGGTGTGGTCGGCAGGACAGGAGCTGGGAAGTCCTCCTTGACAAATGGCCTCTTCAGAATCCTCGAGGCTGCAGGTGGCCAGATCATCATTGATGGAGTAGATATTGCTTCCATTGGGCTCCATGACCTCCGAGAGAAGCTGACCATCATCCCCCAGGTGAGCTCTAGAACTTGTCCTGTACCAGCCGCAGGGGACAGATTTTATGCTGGAAACATATGCATCTTTTTCTTGATGTATATTCACTTAGCAGGCTACCCAGGATATCTAAGCCCGTTCCCTAAGACACATCCTTTCTAGAACTTAAAAATAACGCTGGCATTTTGTGGGGATAGGCTTGTGTGACTGCCAGCATCTAACCGCTAGGTGGCAGGAACACAACAGAAGTGAAATAGAGCAGATGATTATTTAGCATTTCTAGAGCCCATCCTGGGTTCACAAAACCATTGCAATCAACATTTGCAGTTTTGCTGCTGAAGCTTGAAACCATTAAGCTTTATACTCCCCATTTGCTATCGTTAAAAGACAGCAGAGGGAATTTGCTGCAGGTTTTTGCCAGCAAGTGGAACGCTTAGTGTGCATCAGCAAAAAAGTCTTCCCTTTGGCTTCCTCTGGACCCTCCCAAATAAGGTCTGCCTTGGAGGCTTCTTGGCCTGGGGGTGGGGGATGGTATGTGGGTCCTTATTAGAATCATTCCTCCTCTATTCTTGGAGCCAAGTCTCTGGGGATGGTTTTGGCTTGTCCGATGTTCACTCAGTTTGATGTAATCTTTTCTCCAGCTTCTTCAAAAGCTTAATAAATTCTTCCATGACTGTACTGTCCCTTCCCCGGCCCACCCCTGATCCCTTCACTTCCATACCCTGAATTTTCATTTGAGGGTGTGGAACATTCCTCTTACCTTCTTAAGATATGCTGAGGCGAACTTGGAAATCCATAAATGAATCTCAAAGTGAAACAACCAAGAGCTCCCCTTTATCTTGTGGAAGCCCCCGTAGTCTTCGCAAGAGCTTGACCACTAATGAGCTGTGCATCTCGGGTCGGTCCTATCTGCCTTCTTCTAGCCACAAATAAAACCTGCTAGACCCTTTCTTGTCATGAGCTTCAATAGCCCCCCTCCTCCCTTGACTCACAGGATCCCATCCTGTTCTCTGGAACCCTGAGGATGAACCTAGACCCTTTTAACAACCACTCAGATGAGGAGATTTGGAAGGCCCTGGAGCTGGCTCACCTCAAATCCTTTGTGTCTGGCCTGCAACTTGGGTTGTCTCATGAAGTGACAGAGGCTGGTGACAACCTTAGGTAATGTTTCATAACCCACTTCCCCCACAGGCAGTGGGAGGAGGTGGGGGGAAGCACCCCTTTGTTCCTGGGGCTAGTGGTAGTCTGTGGGATCACAGAATTACTCCGGTCCTGGGTGCCTTCCGAGTGGTAGGCAGGGCATGAGCCCTGAGCTGAGGAAGCTCTGAACAGAAGGGTGGCCCAGCAGCTCTGGCTTCCCTTGGGAACTTGTTATGAATGCAGACTCTGACGCTAGACCGACTCATCAGATGCTAGACCGACTCATTAGAATGTACGTGTTAGCAAGAGTCCCACGTGATCTGTGTGTACATTACAGCTTGAGAAGCACTACCTAGAGCAGGGAGTCTTAGCAAGGCTACACACTAGAACCCCTTAGGGAAATATTTAAAAATCCCAATGCCCAGGTGGTGCCCCAGACCCACTGAATCGGGGCCCAGGTGACGCCAGTCTGTAGCCTTGATACAGAATGCCATCCCGTTTGTTTTCCATCAGCAACAGATCTAGGAACTAGCAGGACGTAAGTGGGTCTTCAGGCCTATGCAAAAGACCCTTCAGTCCACAAATATGTACTGATCGTGTAGAAAATGTCGTGTAGCAGATAGGCAGCCATGAGGGGCTGTGGGCTCCTCTGGCCGGATATGACATGGGGGCCTTGACATGTCTGGTTTGTGAGAACACCACATCCTACCCTCTTTCTCTCTTCATGCTGGGGACACCTAAATGGCGTGACCAGGGCCTTGATTTCAGACCTGGGTTAGAGGGGTTGAAGCCTCCATTTCTCTGGTGAGTGATGGGAGGTGGGTCATGTGGAGAGAGACAGCGGCTGAAAGCCAGACTGGCACCTGGGCCCCAGCCTGTTCTAGGAAGCCCTCCAGGGCCAGGCAGGAGGGCATGCAACCGAACTCCAGTCTTGCCCTGTCTCTGTGTGGACACTACAGTGGAAAACTGGGAGTTCATCTTGGGTGACTTCTGATCTCCAGCAGAAATTTTCTTGCGGAGAATTACAGAACTTTAGCCCAGCCCCCCTCTGTTTAATATGTTCCCTAATGGCCACAGCAGGAAAGAGCAATTAGCGAATTCCCGAATATTTCCTCCACATCATTTCCCAAAGCTGTTTTATGTAAGTAAGAGGTCCAGCCTTCATTACTGGCTTTTAGCAAATTAAAGCGATTTGCATTTTACAAGCATATTCGATTTCCACATACATTGCATCTCACACCAAGACACCATGTTCATTAGATAGCTACATCTCTAATCAAGGCAGAAGGCCTTGAACAAATAATTAGCCTTGAGACTAGAATTACACATTAAAATAATGAATGGATTTGCTGAGGCCGCTAAGAAATGCCACTGGGACATTCTGATGTGGTGTCACCCTATATTAATAGTGTCGGGTCAGATACGGCTGTGGTGAACTTGGTGACCTCCCATCCTATTTTGGAATTGCTGTTGATGTGCTGGGATATCACCTAGGGATCCAAAGAATGGTTCCCCGGCTACGGTTTTCCAAACTCATGAAACATGGAAATTGCCTGGGGTGTTTATTAAAAAATACATGCCCTGAGGCTCCTCCCCCTTGTGTTTGAGAAGAGCAGGACCCAGGTGTATGAATTTTTTAAATTAAGCACCTGCGGTAGGAGAGAGTTTGGAAAACCTCGTCTTAGCCTCTTCTGTGAGGTGTTTGTTCTGGGGGAATTTAGGAGTTGGGGTTTCAAAAGTCGGATCTGGAACGTGACCTACCCCGTCCCACATTGGCCATGGCTCCCAGGGGCTCGTGCTCACTTTGGTCCCTTGGCTGCAGCGTAGGACAGAGGCAGCTGCTGTGCCTGGCCCGGGCTCTGCTTCGGAAATCCAAGATTCTGATCATGGATGAGGCCACCGCTGCCGTGGATCTGGAGACTGATCGCCTCATCCAGACAACCATCCAAAAGGAGTTCTCCCACTGCACCACCATCACCATCGCTCACAGGCTGCACACCATCATGGACAGTGACAAGTGAGTGTGGGGACAGCTTGACAGACACCACCGGGCCCTTGAATGACAGAAATAGCATTAGTCATAAAATACCCCACAGCTGAAAGTCTAACCACCATCATTTTACTGATGAGGAAACCGAAGCTTCAAGGAATTTGTCCAAAATTATACACCAAGCTAATGAAAGCCAGCAGGGTTAAGGGAATGGACTTGAGGGCAAAATGGGCAATCGTACATGATTATTAACAGAGTGTGAGGAGGTGGAGACCCTAGCCATGAGGGGCAGGTATTAACCACAGATCTTCTCAACCCCCGAACCATGACTAGACGCTTCCTGCTTTTTCCAGCTCTGGCATAGTACGTTAAAAATGGGGGTAATGTCAGTAGTCTTGGAACCTGTTTGGAGACAACAGGCTCCCTGAAACAAGGTCTATCTTTAAAAAAAAAAAAAAACAAAACTTCTGTAAAGGGACGTCTACTGTATTCTTCTACTACTCGATTCTTTGGCCATATATATGGAACCCACCTGTGTCAATGCAGACAGCTGCGGTCCATTCATTCTCACTGCTTTGGGGCCTTTCATGAATGAATATACCACGTCTTAGTCCTGATTGTTCTTACAAATGCCAAGATGTAAAATGACTGCTGACACCTTTCTTTCTCCTTTGTTTCAGGATAATGGTCCTAGACAACGGGAAGATTGTAGAGTATAGCAGCCCTCAAGAACTGCTGAGAAAATTGGGCCCCTTTTATCTGATGGCCAAAGAGGCTGGCATTGAAAGTGTGGACAGTACATCATTCTGACAGTAGGTCCCACGGGTTGGGAAGGACTAGAGGGATCATGTCTGATTTTTTGTGAGTGCAGTCACACAGAAGTGTGTAAAATGTACATTCTAAAGCAGGATCACATTCTATCCAGCTACAGTAGAACCTCCCAAGCCTGCTGTGATGATCCCATTTTGATTATACCTCCTTCCTACTTACCTTCCCAGAGAGAACTCCTATCCTGAATTTTGTGATAATCATTTTCTCTTGCTTTTCACTTTAGTTTTACTACTTGGTATGTACCCTTAAACAAGGTGTATCTTTTTTAATTTATGTAAATGGCCTGACTCATACTTGACATATTCTTCTCTGGCTTTTGTTCAGTATTATTTTATTAGAGATCCATCTGTGTCAATGCACACAGTGAGGCTGGTTCACTCTCTGCAGCAAGGCAGGGTGTGAATATGCCACCATGTTTCCATTGTCATGCCGCTCAGTAGGCTTATCGCTCAGGGTTTTCTCCCATTATGAACAATACTGCCAGGAACATTCTGGTATATTACCCCCGAGATACGTGTGTAAGAGTTTCTTTAGGATGTAGTGTAGGAATGGGGGTTAAGTGCATGCTTACGTGTATCCACTAGGTAACACCAAACTGAGTGCCAATTCAATACACTTTTTGTCAGTTTCCCTGATTACTACTGAGATTTCTGCTGGTTCTTATTCATGGTGCTTTGTTTCCTTGTGTGCCTTGTGAATTTTGACTGTGAGCTGCTCACTCCCAACATTTTATCTGTGGGCATTCTTTGAAAGCTGAGCTCCCTGGGAAAGCGTTTGCCTGTCCCTTGGGGGCATTACCCAGAACCGATTTGAATTAAATTCTCTACTAGGGGTTTCAAACCATATAGTTAGTGGGACTTCAGACCATAATCTGGCACAAGAACCAACTTGTGGTTTACAAATTCCAAAGGTAAGTTCCTCCCCTTGCCCTAGTGTCTAACATTGCCTTGTTGACTCCTCCTGCAGGGTGCGGTTGATTTCTCGGTTACCTATATTACTACAGATAAAGGCTTATATAGCTTTGCGTCCAGGTTTATCAGAGGGTCTCCTGTTACACTCTTTATCTTGACAGGCGTTGGCTTTATCTCTTGCCTTGGCATCCTGTATTGTCAACGAAGGTCAAAGTCTTCTGGCTTCAGAAGTCACCCTAAGCTTTGACCCTTCTTATCTTCCAGGGGTTTTTTTGTGTCCCATTACTTTGGGTTCAGTATATTCTTTACTTCTGTTTCAGTGATGAAATTATATTTTTCTTTATTCATCATGTTGGCTGTTGAATGAGATGCTCAGAGACCGAAATGTCCTATAGGAAGAGCAGAATAGCTGCGAGGCTGGGTGAGGAAGGGGTTTTTCCTATTCGCTTTGTCCAGCAGCATCACCGTGGCAGTGTTGTCTGCAGGGTAGGTCATAACTGGCAGCAGTGCGGACTTCAGTTTGTCCTGTGCTTCTGGAAGCAGGGTCATTGTGCTCCTCAGACACTAGCAGCACGCCTTCTCAGAAGCCTGGGAGTTAGTTCTGTGAGGACCTCCTATGTTTTGTGGGAATGCAGACCGCTCTCATTTTGTTCTCATAGGCTTCCAGTGGCAGCTGCTTCTGGAAGGTGCTGGCTCTCTGAAACTTATTTTCCTTTGGTCCTTTCTTCAATGCCTACTTAATTCTTTATATGGTTCTGTTAAAATAATATAAGGTTTCTGTCTCCTGACTAACCCAGCTGATAGAACCCTTGGAGATTATCAGGTTAAAGTCTATTATTTTTCAGAAAAGCACATAACCTGCAGAAGGTTAGAATATCCAAAGTCAAAACATGGGTGTTTCTGGCAGAGCCTGGACCAGAAATCAATTTGCTGATTTTTTTCCTTCAATGGCAAAGGGTTTTTGACCTACCTACTCCTACTGATGAAAATAAAGAGAAGGTAAAGGTCATTCTTTTCTCAAAAGTGATGACTAAGACAGGCAGTGAAGCTGGTGGAAACCAGAGCCAGCCTGAATCTAAACCTTTGGTGATGACTCCTCCCATTTCAAATCTTGTTGGTCCAGACCCTGGATAACTGAATCCCCACTCTGGGCCACTTATAATATGATTGCTCTTTCCTACTTTTCTTCCTGAAGGTCCCCTTCTTTCACTTGCCCTTGAAACATTAAGATATTCCTATGTTTTGGTCCTTGACCTCCAGCTCCTTCCTCCCATCCAGTTTTGACATTCATATGTTCAACTCCCTGCAGATACTCAGACCTGAATATTCTTCAGGCATCTGACCCTCAGCTCACCCTACTTTGACAGATGCTTCTACTCCCTCCACTCAAAAGATTTTCCCTCTACTTACCTCCAGTGATGACCTCATTGTCCATTCAGTCCTACAAAAGGAAAACCCTGGGCATCACTCTTAATTTTTTCTTTTCTTCTCGGGTCACATTGACCACTACACCCTTCCAGTTTTCTTTCTTTATCCCCATTCCTTTTACTCTAATTCAGATTCTCATAACATCAAAGGGCATAGGTACCCACACATCCTGTGTTGTTTTCTTAAATATATCCCCCCGTGTCTATTAGAGTGATCAGATGTGCAAAACTGCCCAGGTTACTCTTACTCTCCAGAGTAAATTAGAGTCCTGAGTATGGTATAACAGCTCCCCAGCATCTGGTCCAATCACATTTCTTCTAATTCCTGTTAAAGAAAGAGACAGGAAGCCCAAAATGGGGTCACTTATGCTAAGCCTCATGCCACCAAGCGGAGACTTTATACTTCCTTTTTAGTTTCGGCCCTTCCCAGGAATGGAATCTTAAACCAGTCAATCCTACTGAGGTAATCTGCCTGACAGACCCCTGTGTCCCCTAAAGGAAGGTGACCTGGCCACAACCACTCTACTTTTTGCTAGTATAATTTCTGTGTCCCATTCCCTTCTGCCTATAAAAAGTCTTTCCATTAATCAGATACAACAGCACTGGGGACACCAAGGCAGGGACGTCTGGCAGTCGCAGCTGTGACCATCACAGCTGTTCTCTGTTGGTGGGGGTTCTGGCACCAGGGTCCAGGGATTTGGCCTGATACTGAGCATCCTTCCTGGCTTCAAAGACTCAAATCAGGCTTTCTTCTTCTCCCAGAGAGTCAGTGATCTAGCTGCTACCATTTGAAAACTTCCTTTCTGCTTAAGTTTTACCAGAATTGGGAACTGTCATTTACAACTCAAAATACTCCCTGGCTAATTTCTTATTACTATATCACTTTGTCAGATAATTTTCTGTTTGGATCTCCCTCACTAAGCTGTGAGCCTCTTGAAAACAGTTTTTTCCAGTGTTCAAAAAAATCTTCATAAAAAAAGCACACATTTCCCCCAGTTGTGTAACAGTGCAGCAAAAGGGAAAGAAGCGTGACTCCATGTTGGTACACTGGCACGGACAGGAAGAATAAACGTAACGATCAAACCTTAATTTCTTGTGGGCTGGTTTTGTGTAAGCGCCTTTTGAAATGCTCTCTGGAGAAATTTATTCCAATTAGGTCCTAGGATAAGCACATTCAATCACAAATGCACATTGTTCATGACTTTGCTAAAAAATTTGCAAACACTGTTGTGAAAATATTGACATTTAAATCTTCAAATGGCTACAACTTAGCAGAACCATAGTTAGCTCTAAGTGTGCAGTCTTCCACATAGATACTGAACTGTTTTTGAAAGACTATGCTGCTGAACAGGAGAGAGGGGGAAAAAAGTGAAAATAGACTAAGGGAACTCAGTGACACCATGAAGTATGATACTATTCACATAATAGGGACCCCAGAAGGAGAAGACAGAAAATCTATTTGAAGAGATAATAGCCAGAAAGTTGCTGAATCTGGAGAAGGGAACAAGTCCAGACCCAGGAGGCAGAGAGCCCCCAACAAAATCAACCCAAGGAGGTCCACACCAAGTCCTATAGTAATTAAAAGGGCAAAAAGTAGTGCTAGATAATTTAAAAGCAGCAAGAGAAAACTGTAACATACAGGCGAAACCCCATAACTCTGTCAGCTGATTTTTCAGCAGAAGTTTTGCAGGCTACCCTGGAGAGTCATGATCTATGCAGATGCTGAAAGTAAAAAAAAAAAAACAAAAAACAAAAAAAACCAACCAACCCTGCAAATAATATTCTATCCAGCAAGGCTATCCTCCAGAATGGGAGAGGGAAAGAGTTTCCCAAACAAAGGAATTCATCACCCTTCAACCAGCCCTCCAAGAAATATTAAGGGGACTCTCAGTAGAAAAGAAAGACAAAAAGTAGGAAACACAAAGGCAGTAAAATTAAGTATATCTATAAAAATCCAAGAGTCACAAAATAAGAATGTAAAGCATGACACCATATACCTAAAATGTGGGGAAAAGAGTAAAGAATGGGTTCAAACCTAAGTGACCAACAACTTAATACAGACTATTGTATGCATCTTAATGTAGACAGCTTAATGTGCTATATACTTAATATAGACTGCTATATAGGTTATATATAAACCTAATGGTACCCACAAATCAAACACCAGTAATAGATATGTAAAACATAAAGAGAATGGAATTGTATCATTAAAGAAAGCCACCAAAGCTTGAGAGAAGACAGCAAGAGAAGGAAGACACAGAAAAAAATTCCAGAAACAACCATAAAGCAAGTAACCAAATGGCAATACATACCTATCAGTAATTGCTTGAATATAAATGGTCAAAATGCTCCAATAAAAAGACCCGGGGTAACAGAATGGATAAAAAAGCAAGCCCGAGCTATATGCTGCCTACAAGAGACTCATTTCAGACCTACAGACACATGCAGATTGAAAGTAAAGGGATGAAGAAGCATTTATTATGCAAATGGATATGAAAAGAAAGCTGGGGTAGCAATACTTCTATCAGACAAAATAGATTTCAAAACAAAACAGGGAACAATCCAACGAGATACAATTGTAAATAGTTATGCATCCAGGGGAGCAAATGAATATGTAAAGCAGTAAGAAAGAAAAAAAAAAAGTGATAGTAGTACAGTAATACTAGGGGAC